TTTGGGGTCATTTTTTTTTTTTTTATTTTCCCTCCCGGTTTTCCACAGGGTTTTTTTTTTTTTTTTTTTGTAAGGAGTTGGATTTGACTCACCCTGAGCAAAGGCCTCCAGCACGTCTCCTCCCACGCCTGCCAGGCAGTCCTGCGGTGTGTGAGTCGGGGTGGACCCGGCCGAGGTGGAGCGAATGGGCATGGGCATGGAGCAGCCGGCACCGTGACTCGGAGAAGAATGAGGGGAACCTCCAGACTGGGACGGCGAAAGGCAAAATCAGTCAAAAACGCTTAAACAACCTATTTACTGCATTACTAACCTCTTCTTTTTTTATAATGCTAGCATACAGGCAGATAGAAAACAGACAGGCGAATAAACAAAACAGTAAATCTTGTACATAAGTCAAATGTTCTAACATGACAACATAGAATAAATACTAAAAATTAAGTGTTAAAGCACTGCATCTTTTAATCACAAGAGACATTCAGTAAAACGGAGATAAAGTTGCTCTAAATTTCTTATTTGTTCTTCATTTATTGGCATAAATGTGGCTTTTATGGCCAAATTTATGCAGCACAGAGGCGTCAGTGGTACAGAGCACACACACACACAAGCAAATCAAACGCTGCAGCAATGACGTAATAATATCACCTCTGAATCTCATGCTGCGCAACGCAGACGCTCTGTCTGCGCCGAGGAAAATTCACTTATTTCTGCGAGAAGAAAAAAGGTCGGTCTGTGCTATTTTCTGACTAAATCACATCATATTTTGGTCACTGGTGGTCGTGGACGTTGAACTTCCAGCTCAAGATGGTCAGGCAATAAATATGTCTAGGACAAAAAAGAGTAAATTTCCTCACTAAGTCCTGAAGCAGTTAGACAAACTAAATTTGACATTGGCATGTCCATTGGCAAATTCCACATTTTAATGTACGGGTATGTACAGATCTTTACTGCCAGTTGTTCTCAGTTTTCTCTTAATGCTACATTGGTTGAGTTTCTCCCATTCAAACTCCTTTACTGCATCAGGATGTTAATAAATGTGACGTGTGGGCATAAAAGTGGATCCTGTGCTGAGTCCAGACTAACAAAAGTACACAGTATTCTTGAAAAGTTTTGAACATATCATTGAACGGGATGACGCTAACCTTCATGCTCAGGTTCAACGGAAAAAAAAAAATCTATGCACTCATCAGGAGTTGTCAATGAAAAAATGCGATATTTTCCTAATTCGATTTCACAAAATTCGTGCAAGCTGTGTCTGTGAGGAACTGAGGGGGAAGCGCAGAGACCATCAACTACTGTAAGCACTTTGCAAAGCGAATCGAGAGCAACTTACAGCCTGCTTCTGCTCCTCATCCTATCAGCCAACAAAGGTGAGCAGAGAGAAAGCGAGAAGAGCGAGAGCAACAAAATTAATGAAAAAAAAGGAGAAAGTGATTTCTGCATGCATCACACGGCACACGTTTACATGGCATAACATCAAGGTAGTCTGTTGTGCTCGGAGAGGAAGACACATTTCATCTATTCAAATCCCAATTATCCGATTAGCAGCAACGAGCCAGTAAGAAAACCACAAAGGAGAGCGGCCGACTCAAGACGTTTGATGCTCTACCCAAGTCGGGGGTCTCATCCTCCCACCTGCAGGTAAATCTTCTTGGACCAGGAGGCGGTCTTACCTTCAGCAGCCTCATCAGACCCTCCAGCTGCACCATCAGCTCCCGCCTGCTCTCCTGCAGGGCCGACATGCGCCTCTCCAGCTCGTCCTTCCTGTGTCTGCGGATGGCAGACAACACGGTTCAAGTTTCAGGTTTGTTCATTCGCGCGTGGATTTTGGGTAAAAACAGCAGTCTGCTTTCTAGTTAGAGTGCAAAACCAAAATAACAATAATAATAATAATAATAATAATAATAATAATAATAATAATAATAATAATAAAAAGTGAAGTTGACCCTAAATGTTTTAGACTAATTTGAGGTAAACTGAAAGTTGTTTATTTATATATCAGTACTGAGTGTTTTTTTTTTTAACTCATCTAATTATTGTTTCTGACAGGAGCACAAAGAATTATTTTTTTAAACTAACCAGAAATAAGTGCACAAAAGAAATACATAAACGAATGTAAACTGAAATCCTTCATTTGTGTTGCGGCTTGTTAGCACCCTCTGCTGCTTATATTGTGTAACTGCATATTTACAGATATTGTGAATCAGGTATTTTGAAACTTCCCAGGGACATCAGAGCAACAGATCAGTAAGGGAACAGAAAAGGCTCAAAAGAAGAAAAAAACAAAAAACAAAAACGTAATTTTGAATATTGCCAATGTGCAATATCTGTTGGGTTAGTTTGGAATCTTTTTCCCCTTACAAGTCTTTTTTTTTTGTTCTTGTTTCACTTTCTGTTCACTTTTGGCAAGGTTTCTGATTTATTATTTAGGACAGAGCACACACAGCCTCGAAGAACATATAAAATGTTATTTGAGCCTGTTGTTCCTGCAGAAATCTCTTCCAAGAGCATAACCTAGCGGTGACCCCAAGCTCTGCGGCACAACAGAAAATTATTTCAGGAAAGAAGAAGAGAAGAGACCCAGAGGTGTTTTCAGGAATGTTTTGGCCCTCTACTTGTGCGTATCTTCCTGTTATCGTCGGGTCAGCGACACCGCATCGTACCTGAGGAGTCGCAGCTCGGTCAGGAGCGTGGGGTTCTGCTGGGCTTTCTCTGGCGTGGGCTGGGAGGCCTGTTCATGCTCCAAACGGAGCCTCTGGATCTCCTGCAAGATCTCCCTGATTTGGGGAAAAATATTTTAAATGTAACAGAACATTTCTTTTACCCCCCCCCCCACAACGAGAAATCAAGCGGACCTGTTTTTGTTCTCCAGCTCTGCGATCAGCTGTCTCTGTTGCTTATTGGCGTCGAAGTTGAAAGTCAGGTCTGTTGGAGGACACTGTTGCTGCAACGCAAAACACCTCTCAGTAAAACCAGCGAGAAAAGCTACAAACACAGCAAGAGTTTTCATGCTTTTCAACATTTTGTCATGATACAGCCACAGACGTGAACTGAAGAGTGGAAGGAAAAATCTGACATATGGGTTTTCAAACCTTTTTACCAATGGAAATCTGAAAAGTGTGGTGTGCGTTTTCACTCAGCTCGCCACAGTCACTCACTGTGAATTTTCCGCCTAGCTAGTGCAGATATCTTAATGAGAAAATGTCTTGTTATAAGTTGAATAATCTGCAAGTTGAACTTTATTATTTAGTAGCTAAGTGATTTCTGGAGGAAATTGGTTGTGCTGGGTTTTATTTTGGGGTATCGTCATAATATTTCAAGGTTTTATGTGTAACAAAATGTGAAAACCACGTGTCATTTCCTTCCACTTCACAACTATGCACCACTTTGTGTTGCTCTGTTCCACAAAAGTACCCAAATTACAACAAAAATTCACTTTTTCTACAATTTTCCAGCAACCTAGAGGCATGTGAAGAAGAAAACAATAACTTCTATGACTAAGAGATTTGAAACACAGCTTTGACCAAAACCCTTTGAGTCTTTCTGTGAGGTACTTACTGTGGAGTTGCCTGCCTCAGCCGCCAGGCGTGCAGCGTATCGAGCGATGAGCCGGTGCTCTTCGTCTAACCGGCTGGGACTCTCCAAAACACTGACCAAAGTCAAACACAGAGCAAAACATCACACACATACACACACAGTCAATCTGATTATTTGCAGAAAAAAAAATTCACTAAATGAATTCAGGAGTCCAGAAATGGTAGAAAAGGAGCAAAAAAAAGATTAGAAGAATGAAACGATGATGACTGGATAAGCAGCATGCAGGATGCTTTTATGGCAGCTACGAGTACCCGCTTTGGTCATTTCAGCCAAGAAAAGAGATTTCAAATATTGTCCAAGAGTTAAAATGATCATGAGTGGGACATATGGTGTGGGCAGATGATGGGACATATGCTGCTTCCTTCCCCCCCCCCCCAGGTCATCTCCAAGCGAGGAGGGAAAGCGAGCTCAAACGGTGCGGGGAGCATTTCCAATTCTGACTGGAGTAAGACCAACGGCCGACAATTAAACTCAGCGTGGCTGTAAAGCCGCTGCATCGACTCAAACACTAACCGAACCTGAAAAACGCAGCAAAAGTGGCTTTTTTGTGCCTTTTTTCCTTAAGTGTTTGATCCCAATTTAAGGCTTCATATCATCAAGGGAACTTTAAACAAACATGGCCTGGGGAAATCCAAAATAGTGTTTTTCAAATGATGATTTTATTTTATCCAGGGGGGGGGGGGGGAAAAGGCCCCTAAACTTAACAAATGGATTTTGAGCTTTTGCTTTTACCTCATTGGAGGGTTTTCAAAGCTGAAACGACCGCACACGTAAACGCCGTTTGTCCTCTGCATCTCGACGAGGAGATTTCCACACCTTCATACTCAATTTAACTCCATTCAGAAATACTTTATCTCAAAGAGAAACTAAATGTGTAAAACAAGATGAACCTGCATGCATATATATATATATATATATGCATGCATATATATATATATATATATATATATATATATATATATATATGCATGCAGGTTGGTTTGGATAGCTATTTTTACTCAATGCATGAAGTAATAATTTCAAAATTGAGTAAGTGTAACACTGATGAATATGTTGGATGTGATGACATTTGACAAAATTGAATGTTTATTGATTGCTTCTATGTTTTTATGATGTGAATCATTTTGAAATGGGCTGCACAAATAAACTTTGACTTGACTTTTTTTCTTTTGCTCACTTTGGGTATTTTTTGTTTGAGATAGAAATGTGTTTGATGAGCCGAATCCTTCACAAAACATAACAGGGAAAACTGCAAATTTAGCTACTTTGTTATCATTGCATGAACGACCCCTGAATGAACCGAGGTAATGGCCGAAGTATCCGTCGGATCCCTTGACGGGCTCAATGTTGTGTCACAAATTAAGAGGGAAAAAAAATAAAACATGTAACTCAATCAGAGCACAGCGGGACATTAAAAAAACATCTCGCTAAATGGGTCTCGTTCTAAATAATTTACAGTCTCACTGATACCGATGTTTCTTGTAAGAATACGGCGACAGATCAGGGAATTGCTCTGCCCGAAGTTCTAATGCTACGTCCAGATTGTAGTAATTTTTTTTGACAAAAACTTAACAATTTTAACAATTTAATAAATTGTAAATTTATTGACCGGATCGCCATCGGCAGGCTCCTACTTCGGAGAATCGGATTAAGTCAGAATGCTGGGACAGAAAGTCAATAACAGCTTGGGTGTGTGCTATAGTTGGAGTATTTTCACCGTTTCACCTTGCGATCAAACAGTCCTACCCCACAGAGAGCAGGAGACGTGACATTCATCTTTACTTGAAATAAAAATTTTAAAAAAGCAACAACAAAAAAAAGAAATGACGAGAGGTCATAGATAAAAATAGTATTTGTTTTTGTTGTTGAAAGTTACTAAAACATAAAAGTCAAGGCAAAGGTGGAGCAGAAAGTGGTTTTATTCTGCAATATTAAATTATACAGACATGTGAGTGCAGTGTGTTGAGAAACAGTAAAAAAAATAGATGAATACACCCCCTTTTTTAATCAGAATTGGTCTTGTCTTTTGTTTTCTTTTTATTATTATTATTTTTATTGTTCATAGACGTATTTGTCATGCATGTGTCGTCTTGCCAGTGGGGGCGCTATCGTGCCGCTGTGGGTCTAACAGGGAGAACGAGTTTCCTGGCTCTGGGCATGCGCGGCTCAGAATAAACGAGCTCCTGACAGAGATACACTGTTACGACTCACCTCCTCTGTGATCCACAGATCTGGTTGCACAGGATTCATCTGCCTGTGTACCACTTGATACTGGCCCCAGATTCCCCTAGGTCTGGTGCCGGTAACATGAGCAGGAGTAAGACTAAAGTTCACTGAACATATGCGATAGCTAGAGAACGCTAACATCAATTCATTTAGCAAAAAAATTCCAATTTGGATAAAGCAGCCGCTGCTGTCAATAAAAAAAAAAAAAATAAAAAATGGATTCCAAAGAAATCGGAAAGTCGGAAGCAGTCACAATGCTAATGCTAACCATTAGCATCGACGAAATATAGCTGTTTACTCTACTGGATGCCCGTTCATAATGACTCGGATCGGTACCAACACAGCTGTTTTACATTTATTCGACTGCCCGTGAATGGTAAGTTAAATCACTTCAAAATGTTTTCCTCTGCTGGAAACAGAGCATGACGTAACACAGCATGACGTGTTACGTCATGCTGTCCCATTTCCGCATGACGTAACACGTAATAAATTAACTTCCTGGAGGGCGCGCTTCTGTGTGAGAGAGGCAGAAAGGGGGGCTGCCATGTCAGTAGAGCAGACGGTATCAGAAGCCGACTGTGATGGAGCGTCGAGGCAGAGCTCGGGCCATTTTTTAAGAGCCTGCATGGAGTCTGTAGCCTGCTGCTGGCACTTTGTTTTTCACCCCATTAAAACATGAAATCGGAAACGGTCAACGAACAGTGACGGTGGTGGAGAGGGGGGCTCTGTCCCGCTTTAGGGGGGCATCTTTAGCTGAAGCAGAGCGACGATGAGCTTTGCTTTATTCAGCAGGAGCATATTTGAGTCACCGGCCTTTCGACAACAGGCGAGAGAATGCTGTGAAATTTTAACAGTGGATTAATATTTATTAGAAAGACAGGGAACAACTCAACCGGGCTGAACAGAACTTGCCCCCCCAACACACTGCAAAAACCCCCCCACAAAATCTCAGCAAGTATTTTTGGTGTAGTTTCCGGTACAAATATCTTAGTACACTTTAAATAAAACTAAACTAGCTAACAAGTAACTTTTCAGCAAGATATAGCTTATATAGCAAGATTTCAGCTTGTTTTTAGTTCGTAATTCTGGAATATTGATTTTAAACAAAGCACTAGTTCTGCTGGTAGATTATTTCCCTGGGCTGGAGTTGCTGTAGAAAGGCTTAGTTCAGAGGATATTAATATGTCCTAGTGAAAGTACAGACCTGAGTCCAATTGAGAATCTGTAGCAAAACATGAGAAGTCCTATTGGATGGATGCTTTCAATCTAATTTCCCTTTCAAAGAAGAAATGACAAAACATTTCAGTGTCTCTAAAGGTGGAGGTCATTGCAGCAAAAAAGTTGCTCTCTAAAAGTACTGACGCAAACTCACTCCACACTTCTTTTTTAAACAAAACATATATAAAGAAATGTATTTTTCCTTCCTACTCAAAGTCATGTGGTAAAACTCCAATAAAATGCGCCGAAGCTTGTGGTTGTAACATGACTGGGTGCGTAAAAAGGCTTCCAAAGGGGGATTGCTTGTTCTTGTTCACATCTCTCAGCAAAATCCACAACGCTGCTTCCCCGGGATTCCTGCTGCGTTCTCATCGCCACTTCAATGTCGTCCCCTTTCTGTTTGCTTGGGACTCCATAATCCCTGTGTTAATTGGAAGAAGACAGTTTCCGCCATCTTGTATTTGCCGTCTGCCCTAAATCCTTCATGTCGTCTCTTCAACTCATCAAACACTTCTTATTTTAGATGCTAGTTGCTCTAATGTGCTTCTTGTTTTTTTTTTTCCTGGAGTTTCTCAGCATGACAGATGTTAGGAGCTGCTGAGGGTTTTAAGAAGTGATCAATAAGATTACAGATTACTCAAATTAGTCAAGCAAATGATTAAAAATGACAAGCCAACCAATGGTTGAAGTAATTACCAATGCAATAGTAATGGTGTGATTTTGTGCGCTGCTTTTGCCCTTCAGGTGGCAGATGTGCAGCTGTTTTGACTCCTCTGAGGCAACGACATCCTCCGCGAGTGTCATCTTCACACGGCGGCGCTGACTCACAGAGCAAAATGTCAAGACAAAGGTTATCGGGCTTCTGCGCTACCGCCACAGTGAGAGAAACCTCGGGAGAGAATCGCCTTTCCTGCAACACGAACCCATCCGCTGACCTCCATGGGTTTGGATGCGTGACATCATTAAAGTCCCTGAAACCAGCGCCGCGCCGTCAGAAATAACCATCTCCATCAAAGGTTAATGTCATAAATGATTGGCTTGATGGTTAGATTTTGAAGATTAAGTGAAAGAAAACCCCAACAGATTTTAAATTGATGGATTTTTTTTTTTTTTTAATTCCTCCCCCCCGTCTAGTTTTCCAGCTGCCCTTCAGCTGAAAAAGTCCTTGGCGAAGGCTGATGACTCTGCCTGAGACTTCCACACCCCCTTCGTTCACGGTCTCCCCCCCCAGATTTCCGACGAAGTCGTCGTCTTGCAGCTCCCCAGTCTCTGAGCGCTCTGATCTCAGGAGCACAAAATTGCCGGAAAGATTTGCAGGAGCGATATGGCGCACACGAGACGGGGAAAATCTAGACCTGCGGGGAGAGGACACGTTTACGTCGCAGCTCCCCTCAGAGCGCTCTGCTCCGTCGCCGGCTTCATAACCACAGAGCTTCGTTACCCGCTGTGAGTAAATAATGATGCCAGAGTCCAGGCTCTCACACGAGATGGACTGAAATGAGAGGAGGCTCTTAGAGCGACCAGGCTCCATCCGGCTCCATCATAATCTCTTTGTCATGTCATCCTGTTAGGTAGACGTGATCACAAATTCACTGTGACAGCAGAGCATATTTTCTAACTAAAAATACACCCGGAAGGTCAAGCTGCTCGGAGGCAAAAATATGTGCAAAGAGGGGGTATGATTTGCTGTTCTCATTCTGATCAGAGACAATCTGTCGTCTATTTTAAGCGCGGCCTCAATTCAGGAGTGATTAAAAAGGATTTATATGGATTTTTCGGGCGACTTATGGAGGTAATTTGTCGTCTCAAGGCCAGAACTGCGATCATATTTTTTAGAGTAACTGTGAGTAAAACAAAACAAAACAAAAGAAAAAGTCATGGTTAGATATCATTGACCGTAAAAGTTAACAGAAAAATAACATGTAGTCCTGCTGCTGCAAAAATGTTGTACTGACTTTGGCAAAGCAAGCAAAACTTTATGCTCGCTTGCTTTCATGAGCACGTTATCACACAGTTTAGCTGAGCTGTTCCGTACAGAGTAAAGCATTCATAAGAAGTTGATAGAGGTATTCATAATAACCCTCGAACTTTTTACTTTTTCTCACAATACAATCACAAACTTTGAGGTATTTTACTAAGACTTTTTGGGAGGTAATGTAGTGCATAGCGACGTAAAAGTGATGTAATGGCATAATGCTGAGGATGTTGTGTTTTTTGCCACACATTTACAATGTAGGCCCAAAAGGTTCAATTTTGGACAAATATCTATATTTGTCAAAAAAAAAAAAAAAGAGTTGAAAACCATTTATTATTTTAGGTTTTTGTATTAGTATTTTTTTCTAAAACAAGTAAAAAAAATAAATAAATAAAAAAAAAATAAAACCCATGGCATAATGCTGCCATTACCATCTTTTACCTTGGGGTTCATGTATTCAGGATTGGTGTGCAGTAATTTTTTTTTTGCCTCATATTTGGCATGTAGATCCGTAATGTTCTACGTTTGACACATTTTTAGCTTTTTATTTGTAAAAAAATGTTGAAAACCATTCAACATTACTATTGAATTTACAATTACGTGCTGTTTTGTGTTGACCTATCACAAAATATCCCAAGAAAACTAATTTAAGTTTGATTGCATGCAACTGCAACACTGTCATTGCGGCTAACTAGCCTAAACTCACTAGCTTAACGGATATCCTCTTAGCTTGTCTTTTAAGATCTAATAGCTCTAGTTATCTTAATAGGAGTGATGTTCTCAATGCCAGAACTATTTGTGTGTGTGAGACTGGAAATAAACTGATTTTTTTTTGTAACTTTTCCTCATTCATGGCTAAGTGTGGAAGCCTTCTTTAGCTAGTTGACTGGTTAGGACAGCGGGATGCTAGGTCTCTTTATGCTCATACTGAGAGGGAAAATTCTGGTCTGGCGTTGCAATAAAAGGATCACAGCATAATATTGGATCAGTTTTGAAACTCTCCAAAACTTTGGAGTACCTTAAATCTGGTCCTTGCACAGTCAGTTAAGGGGGAGATTGCAGTCATATCGTCAAAAAGCTTACCTTTTGGTAGGAGTGGGTGCACCAGAGGACATGAGCATTGTGTCGTTCATGTTGTTGGTCGCTGCTTTCGGCTGACTAAAACAAGACAAGATTAGAGGTTTTTAATGCTACGCCGCAGAGGTCTGTGCTGCTTGACACCGGGAACGGGAGGAGAACAATTTGCATTTTTATTAATAATCATAAATCAAGCTATTCTAACTTCAGCTTCATCCAGCTGTAAGTAAGAACGTAAGAGCGGAGGCAGGAAGAGGAATCATTAAAACCCACAGAATGTGGTGCACCAAAAAAAAAAAAAAAAGGAAAACTATGATATAATCAACTTTCCTGCAACTGATTTAGATGTTTTTAGGCAATTAGCTCAACTCTAATTAACAAGTGCAAGAGCAACAACAAGGATTCTAATTAAACCACAAGTCTAGGGGAAAAAAAACAAAAACAAAACGGCACCAATAAAACAGTGGAAGGTGACATTGTGGGAGGTAATTTGAGAGAGTAAACAAAGCAACGCGGCCCATATGGTGTCTGGATTCGTGTCGGGGCTCGCCAGGACTCAAACTCTCAGGGCACAGAGTCTCATTAACGGATCAAAACATCCCCCAGAAAACAGCAGCCGCTCACAAACACGCGGAGGTCTGCACATCTCTGGATTTGCATCCTCTGAATCTGCACCTTGTAGTTATTAGCCTCGATTCTGTTTGGCTTTATTTACATCTCTCACTATGACACAGAAGGCAGAGCCCTGTTGAGAACTCCTCTGTACTGACACAGGAATTTATAGATATATTACCATACTGTTGTTAATAGCATCATGCAGGGTTTTTTATTTTGCATTATAAAATAATGCAAAATATTTCTGTTTTGTTTTAAAAACAAAACAGAAATGAAAAAAAAAACATTTAAATAGGATTATCTCCTCACAAACACTTTTCTGTTCAATATTTTCTCTTTAAATACTTGATATTACACATTAGATTAGAGAAACACATGAATAAGTCATCTGCTCTCTTCTTTCATCAAAGCCATTTGCTACAACTTTCCACTATTTTCGCATCAGGAGAGTAAAAGGAAAAGTATGAGTGCTGAACCTTGCACATACTATTTCTGTCCTCCATGAAAAAAAAAAAAAACAAACATTATGGAAAACAGTTACATAAAAAACAAGGTTTATCGGTCATCAAATCGCCTCAGAAGCAGCTGGAGTCAAAGGACGAGGTCCGAGACTTACCTCTGCGGGGAGAGAGAGCGCCTGCCTCGGTGGCAAAACACATCCAACCACTGCTGCTGCTGCTGCCAGATGCCTAATCTGTCCTCAACTGAGCAGGCGAGCATCTCAATGTACTACACTGCTGCTGTCTCCAAGGAAACTCGGCAGTCACGTGACTTTGTGACGACGTAGATTTTCTATGTCTCACTCAAGCTCCTTTCCCCTCTCTGAGGCTCCTCTCTGACTCTGTCTCTTCGCCTCGCCACATGCAGACACGCTACAAAATGGGGAAATGTAATTTTGCTTTAGCTTAGCCAAAACTGCTAGTAGGTAAAAAAAAAAAAAAAAAAATACAAAATGAGTCTTATTTAGAATTGTGCACAGAGTGCTCATCTGTGGTTGCGAGTATATTTACATTTACATATCTCAACTCCTCCCTTTACCTTCAGCGAGTTACATAAATCAAAGCTCCTCAGAGCGAGACTTCTAAAAATAATCTTCAGCCCCTTTTGTGAATCTATTAATGCAACTCATGTGTAACAGCAGGGTCCAATAAAAAACAACTCATTTTTATGTTTGGGTTTTAGTACTTTTATCTAACATAAGTCGAATCTAAAACGTAGCTCAACTCGCTCGCATAATTGCCTACGGCTCCGTGGCTCATTACCTGCATGAAGTTGATTGAGGACGTCCAGCCCAGACCTCTATCCAGTGTCTCAGAGGTCAACATTCAGGCATTAAAAAAGATCAAAGCCTGCAATGCGCTAAGGCCCGTTTCTCCTGAATGACACACAGTGCAATATAGTAATTTCTTGTGGCTCAGCGAGACATGGGAAACTAATGGGCTAGATCAGGAGAATATTTTAGGCGAGGTTCTGCATAAAGGTTTGATGGAGTTAGTGTCTAATCTGTAATGGAGAACTTTGATAGCGGTGGGAGATTAAGTTTATTTTTGGATGCTCTGAGCTGCAGACATTGTTGACTGATTAAGTAAACTAACATTGGAACTCTGTTAAGGTCTTTTAATGCACATCTTTTCATTGCTTTGTGCATTTTTGGTTTCATCCATCCCTTGCCCCCCCTGCAATGGCACGGTGCCCCTCCTAGGGAGCGCACCCCACAGTTTGGGAACCTCTGACTTAGCTAACTGAACAGTTGAACGCCACATTGCTATGTCGTTTGTTGTCATTTATTACGTGGTTATCATGTGAAATGAGATGACAATTTTGCAAGTGTTTTGTAGGAAGATCCTTTTCTGTTGTGTCTTCCTGTTTTGTGATTCAGTTAATATCTTAATCATTTTCACCAATGGAGGCTAATGTAAACAAACAGCACAATATGGCTCCCGAAGCAGCGTCGGTATTGATGGAATATTCATTCATTTAGAATGAACAGTGCCATTACTCATTTATCATGACAAGGTTGAATGAAGTAATAGGAAGCAAATTTCCTGAATAAAAGAGCCATTAGCCAAGGCAATTAAGAGCACGGAGTGAAAGCTATTATTTTCCCAGGAAGTGCAGCTTTGTGCCTTCTTGTCCCTTCGCCCCCAGCACTGACTTCAAAAACACTAGAAGTGGGAAGGGTGGTGCTTTGTTGTCAGGAAATATGACAGATCCTAACCGGTTAATGTATACTATTCTTTAAAGTCCTCACAAAACTCAGCAGCACAATGCTTTGGCATATTTGCACCAAAGATGTGACGAACCACACATTCTCCCATCCCTCTTTGGGTAAGGTGGTGAAATGGACCTGCTAATTTCCAACAATACCCATAACCGAATATGTCAGCTTGGACCGGTTAAAATCGTTTGTTGTACGTCTCATGTCACCCTGCAGGATACCTCAATGACTTTCTAGAAGAAGTAGATACTTTGATCTCTTCTGTCCCTTGTTCTTGATGATGCAAATTTCCACCTTGGCAATCATGACTCATCAAATTTTTCAATCATCACTTCACTTGTTTGAGCTACAACTGGTCCACAGTCTTCCAACTCACAAGGTTACCAAAGAGCTAAATCTCGTTTTCACAGGCCCTCTACGCACTTTTCTGATGACTCTCCTGGGAAGATCCTGCTTCGACCCCCTGCTCTTCAAACCTCTAGCACATTCTCAATGTTACCGATGCCAAAGAGTCATTGAGCTCTTGCCTAAATAGTCCTTGTCCTCTATCCACCAAACCCACTTTATGAGACCGAATCAAAGTGACGGGATCCTGAGAAGCAGGTAGGATAGCTCTAACATGTGACGCATCAACAAGCACTGCTACAGAATTGGGTCACCATAACTGTGCAGATTAAAGTGTGGCAGCGAGAATGATGTGTGATTCACTTAAGAGCAGGAAATGATGGAGAAGGCTACAAAAATAAATTATATGTTAAAGAAAAGAATGGCAGATTGCTAAGGATGGGAGTTAATGGACGATACGGCTGAGAAACCTACCACGATTTAATCGTTTCATATCGGTCGATATCGATAATTATCGAGTAGTTTTTTTGTTTGTTTTTGTTTTAAATATCTGAAATACTTCAAAACTAGAGAAGTGACGTTTCTTGTTTTACTCACAGTTTCCACTTCACGTCGGTGGTTTTCAGTCGTAAGTAGCTATGAGGCGAAACCTTAAACAGGTTGTTGCTAGGTAACCAAAGAGTGAGTCAGCTTAAGCCACACAGCTTGCTCAGCTGGCCATGAGAGGTTGAGAAGCTGAAGCTTTTCCTCTGCCTACATCTCCCAGAATGCTGTGCGGTTCTGAATCTGAGTTCAGTGAAACGACTGAAAATTCTATCGATATTACTGTATGTGTCTATCGCAATATATATTGTTATTGATTTATTGACTAGCCTCCATTCCAGTTCTAATTGGTAATTTGAGTTTTTGTCAATAACTGTTCAATGCAAATATGATGAGATTTCAGTGGTTGATAAAATAGCAGTCATAAAAACAGTTGATGAATTTGTGATTGAAGCTGTTTCAAGACATTAGAAACCTTGAAATGACTTGGCCTTAGCGTCAGCCTCCAAAATTTCAAGACCGCTATTATGAAAACTTAATCCTTAAAATCTCAGGATGGCCAATTATACGCCTCATATCTCGGTTTTAATGGCGCCGATGTATTTTTGCAGTGGCCAGGAGATAACTTCAAGTTGTAAAGCAGGGGCATACGTTTTAAAAATTGAATTAATTTCTAAAGAATTTATAGTGAAGAGAAATTTACTTTCTGAATATTGAATGTGACTCAGGATTTGTCACCACAGCATGTATTAAAGTTGAATGCAAAGTACAGACAATGCCTGTGTGAGTCACTTTGACAGAAGCGGAGCTAGCTCTGTCTGTGAGAGGAAGCTTCTCAGACAAACGGTGGCTCCCAGAACGATGCATCCTCTTCCAAGCAACAAATCCCCAACAATCTACCTGACACTTTGAGAGAGGAGAGAAATTCACGGCTCAGTTCTCGGTTAGACGTCGGTTCAGACGCCGGTAAATATTTCAAAATAGCACGGGAACAGCAGCACTTTGTCAGAGGGCGTTGCGAGGGTTGGGACAGCAGGGGAGCGCGTGTCCGTTCGATTTGGGTGGCCTGATCAAACCTGACGCTATAGCCTGATTCTGCCAGGCGTTCTGACACAGGCTTTGTCAGCGCTCACACACACACACACACACACACACACACACACACACACACACACACTCCTGAGATATGATGGGGACTTATAATATGAAATGACAACTCATCGAAGACAATGTTTATCCAACTTGGTGATAGTTTTAGAGTTCCTGACTCAGGCTACTGGGATCAGTACGATTCAGCAAATGAGGCAGGAGGGAAAAGATTCAGGAGTCGTGAATGATATGGAGATTACTTATCCATTCACCCACCAATTCTTTAAAATGCCCATCTGTGTCAGCTGTCTCTCTCTTTCTCTTCCAGGATACAACAGGGGGAACACCAGTCCATACTTTTGTTACTTCCACAAAATGCAGATAAAAGCCTTCAGATGATCCAAAACTTTGCTACTGGAGGGCAAACTGATCACTTTTCCTCAAATCTGCTACTTTCTTCGACTATTCTCCAGCTCACATTATCTGCTGTTATTTAAGACGTTATCTTTATGTTTTTTCTCTCCAGAGACGCTACATCTTCCTGGATGGAGGCATCAGCTGCCAAAAACTAAACGTTCTCCCTCGATCGTGGTGCCGTACTTATTAGCATGTAGCTCGTGATGTTTTTGTCTCAGCTGCTTGGTTAAGTACTTTTTGGTAGCAGGCAGAGTGGTGCAATGTCGCTTTTGCCACCGAGAAAGCAATTTTTAATTACTTTGATGGCCTCCTGGTGAGCACACAATTAGGTCGCAGCGTAGCCGCTCCTTTGTAGTCCTCAGATCAGCAATACGAAGCCGGTGAACCTGAGCCACGCGTTGCAGATTAGTGACTACGCTGCTCCACACACCACCACCATCTCACTACGTGAGTTTAATGCATAATGTCACCCACACTGAACACAATGGGAGCCACGTTGTGACCTTCTCTATGCCCTGCAAAGACCGTCAATGTCTTTTTTTTTTTTTAAAGAATATCAACAAGAGGTTGAAAATTGAACAAAAAACACATGTATTGACTGGACCACTTCAACACATTTCAGCATATTAGTTGCTGATTTTATTGTCAGTTTTATATCAGGTTGGTTACTACTGAATCTTTTATGTTTTCTTATAGGATCTTGTAATGGATGCAAACAAAACGTTTTCAAGGAGAAGCCTAAAAGGATGTGACAGCGTTTCACATATTATGCTAGCTTGTAAAATAAAATAAAAAAAAGAAAAGAGAAACTAACATTTTCTTTGGCTGCATGGCTGATTCATTCATCCTCGGGTACATATGCAAATATACATTTTCTTGCAACAATATTTTATTTATAATCCCAAGAAAAGCAGAGCTTTCCCCCCCCTCTGCTCCTTGCGAGAGATCGAGCTACAGAGGCAAAAAGATCGAGAAACAAGTAACAAGGGGCAACTGTCACATCCATTTTTCTAAAAGTCAGTAAACACCCACTCGCTCCATATAAAAACAAACCAAAAAAAATGCTAAAATGTCATCTACAAGTGCATGAGAGAGGAGTCTGTCCTTTCGAGAAAAACAAAACAGCCGAGAGTTCCTGAAATTTCCGTCTGAATTTAACAATCCTTATGCAGAAATTGCAAAGTGCACGCAGGGTGTCTGTAGTCAAAGTTGCTTCCTCATTATCAGGTTGACACACAAAGCTTCAAATTTCTTATTCAGGTATCAGTATGGCTATAATTCATCAAGAAAAACAGTTTAGATAAAGAAAAACATACGCTGAAGGGCATTTAGGACTCTGTGGCAGGATTTACTCTTTTACGGCGAACATTGTAAAAAAACATCATAATAAAAAAAGAGAGAGAAAAGAACAATAACAGGGAACAGAATAGATAAATGTGTGCTGAGGGAAAGATTTAATCCGACATAGTCTCGGCCGCAAATCGTATTTCTTTTTATCGCTATTAATCTTCTTGTGTGATGTAATTTCATGCTACACAGCCTACATGGCGCACAATCCAATCGCCTCGTCTCTAAAAACACTCAGTTTGTTCTCCACTCCGTGATGAATTGTAATGTATGCAAATGTCATATCCATCTCGAATGCACACATTTCAACAGAGTGCAGAAAAAAAACAAAAAAAAAACAGAGAAAACTTCCTGGCAGTGGGAGGAGCCTGGGAGTGAGAACTCATTTGGAGCTGATGGTATCCATCATGCCGGAAAACAGGAAAACAGAAAGGAATGTATCGTTCTGTCTGTTTGCCTGGCATTTACTGAGCTACGCTCTCCTGCTAAAACGCAACTCTCTATCAATTACTCACTGACACTTGCCTGCAGCAGAGGCATAAAAAGACGGCTCAGATTGATAGCCGTGCATGGCGAGCAAAGGAGCTTCCTGTTACGGCAGAAAGCGATCGGAAATGTCGGAAAGTCGGGTCAGAAAGTTGAGTTGTTTCCGGTTTGTGCCTGGCGCTGGTAAACCCATTTGTCACGTCTTTAAAGTTGTAGTCTTAAATTTAAGGCAAAATCGATTAATTGAATTAATCGTGATGAATCGATCATTGAAATGAATGAATCAGGTAATTTAGTAACCGATTAATCGTTAACTGGAGAGTAGAACAACATACTCAGAGCAGAAAATAACACAAAAATGTGCAAATATGCATATATATATATATATATATATATATATATTGCATTTAAGAGAAAAAAAAACCTTCGTCTGTAAATATGTTCTACCTATAACTCCTCAGGTGACACAATTTTAGCTTCATCTAGTTCAAATACTGTAAAGAAATCTATTAGGACCTGCTAAGCTGAGCAGAAAGGGATGAATTTTTCACAATTTGATGTCAGAAATATCTTTTTAGCTGCAGATGAATCGTTTCGCTAAAAACGATGAATCGTTTTGCTGAAGAAATGCTGTTTTATTAAATTTCAGGCAATAAAATTTTTTTTATTTTCTCATTTAAAAAAAAGAATACATGTGTTTTGTTTGCATCTTTTATGCATTTCAAATGTATAAAAAAAAAGTCCTAAATGAAAACCCCACAGAATATTTCAGGTGTTTTTTAAGTCCGATTAATCGATTAACTGTCAGAATAATCAATAGATTAATCGATTACGAATTGATAGTTGCAGCTTTGCTTTGATTTTTTTTTATGTGGGAAGCAAAAGAGCAGCAGAGAAACAACGCAGAAGGAAAACATGGAGGGGAACTCGGCAATGTGTGCAGAGTTAAAGACGGCAGCAGAACATAACGCATTTCCTATAACGGCTTCCAGGAGCCTCACAGCCTGGAATGTGAGATTGACGGCACCGTCCAGGTCTCATTGCCAACAGACTGATGAAGATGACTGAGCTGTTAGCGGCCTGTGCAGCATCTCACATGTTCCCTGGGACTGGACGTCTGAGTGAGTGGAGATGCCGTAATCGGTGTGATGATGGCGTAGTAAGACGATGGGAAACGTTACACGATGGAAACGGCTTCCGTGTCATGAGCATATTGATTCCTACTGCGCTGCTCATCGACACAGCAGCAGGTAATGCGTTGGGAGTAGCACTTACACGGTGTGGGTGAGCTCCTGAGGTCGCTCGGCCTGCTCGGGGAACACGGGGTGCGGCGGCTCTCCGATGGGGACGCAGCCCAGAGATTTGCTGATCGCATGGCTCAGCTTTTTGGCCGGAGACTTCTGTGATAGCAGGCGGGAAAAACAGTGTCACATCTCGCCTGATCGATCGGTTTTGGTGTTGTACGCTCAAACGTAAGCTGTTCCAGAAATCATTTACGTAACTAGGTATGTCTTACTCTCTCAAACATGCAAACATAAAAATCTTACCGTGTAATTTTAATCTGGTTTCTAGATTAGAACTAATTTACAAGTAACTTTTCAGCAACAAGAGGAGCTTGTTTTTAGTCAATAATTCCTTATTATTGATGAAAAAGTACATGTTCAATAGGCAAATTAATTCACTTATAACAAGATGTTTTTCCTTTGTCATAAGTGAAATAATCTGCCAGTGGAACATGAACTTCTTCACGAATAATGGAGGAGTTATTGACTGAAAAACAAGCTCCTCCTACATCTTGCTGAAGCTACTTGTCATTAGTTTTTGTTATTTTAAGTTTAATAAGATGTTTGAACTAGAAACCAGATTAAAATTACACGGTAAGATTTTGTGTTTTTGCAGTGTTGATGAGGAACTCTGTATCTCCTGCTGTTAACATAAACACATATACGCTTTACACATCCACACATGTTTACAAAAGTATTTAACCCTTCAAACCTTATCATTCTTCCCAACATATACTACAGGAAGTACTTTTGTTTTCTCATGTTCTGTTGCGAAATCAAACTGAACCTTTTCTACTTATGCTGAAAAATACAGATATACAGATTCTTTTCTTTCCTAACTTCCTTTATTTTCTGACATTTACACACATCATCTATTAGTTTTTGTACAGTTGCCTGACTGACTTGGCTCAAATGTTTTCTGTCATGGAAACAGAAATAAGACAGAACTGTAATAAAGTGTAACTTTTTAGGGTTATTCTGATGATTCTGACAAATAATTAATACCCATCTTTTAGTTGTAATTTTTGATGCATATTGCACATATCTTCGTTTATTTTATCGCACATAGTTTTGTTATAATGGAACTTTTAATCTTTTTATTTCTATAAGCTGGTGGCATCTGCAGTGTGTCGTTTCACACCTGTGGTTTCAATTCATTTGAAACTTTTTACCAATATCTCTCAAATCTGGAGACATAAAAACTCTCCTTTGAAATCAGGTTATTTATTCTTTACCTCATAACTGTCTTTCCGTCTTATGAGTTATTTAATTAAAAATACTCAACTTTCTTGAAGTGAAATGTTCATCTGAATGAGAATGCCTTCAATATCAATTTTACAATAAACTGGTTTGATGGTATCGTGTACACGAAGCACCTTGAGGCTTTTAGGGATAAAAACATGATTGGATTTTGCCATAAATATTTATTTATTTTTCTTTTTTTTTATAGAAAAAGAGGCATTCTGCGACTCTGCTACGGTAGAAAACCTGCCAGTGTCAGAGAGGTGGAACCTAAGATGCAACTTAGGTGCTTCGGACTCATTTAAATTGAGACTTTTTCACTTTTCAGGACCACATCCAGTACAGATGCATCCATGTATCCTACAATAAGTGGCAAAAAAAAAATAGTTTTGGCATATCGGACTTGTGTTTCGTGTCTAAATGCTTTCAATCATGTCGCTCCAATCATGTCGCTCCAGTCCCGAAGCGATACGAGCTCTTATTCTTTCCTGCAGGATTGCAAATGGATTTGAGATCCGGGGTAATATCCCTTTCCCTGCTTTCAATTTATGACATCGTGATTGAGCTTCGAGGGAAGGCGGTGACGCGATCAATACAGTTTCATTTTCAAAATAACTAAACCTCGTAAACCCCTCACCTCCGCCGCCCCGCCCTTAGATTGTTATGAGAGCCCATTAACCGCATGCAGACAGCTGTTCTGTCATAAAATCACTCCTCGGCCTTCGAGAGGTATTGACTTTTAATTTGCGTGGAGACGGCAGAATTGTAATGCAAACCCGGGAGGGGATCGCGGATCGTTTCCTTACCCAGGACGAGTGCTCCTTCATTTGGTGTTGGTTGCTGTGGGGGCCGTTGGCGTGGCCCCGCCAGAAGCAGCTCTGACACAGCTGGTAGCCGTGGCACTGCTGGCACCGGTACCGAAAGCCCATCATGCTCTCGCTCCGGCAATAAGAACATTCCACCGGATGGAAGACTGCGCAGAGAAACGCAAAGACAAAGCGGCTCATTACATCTTTTTTTTTATTTTTTTATTTCTATGCATTCCAGTCATTCCTGTTGAAATATCTCATAATATTTGATAAACAATGGAAATATTGTGTGCCTTAATTTAATTAGTCACTTTGAACAAGCAAGAAACTGGACAGCAAAACAGGTTGGAAACAAAGCAGATCGAAGCAGATGGTGTGAATTAATGCTTAGAAAGTAGAAGGGTAAACTTTGGGGAAACTATTTTATGCTGCAAAAATCCTACCTAGTTTTTAGTACACTTGAAATAACAAGTAACTTTTCATCAAGACATACCCTTGTTTTAAATCCATAACTCCTTAATACTGATTTAAAAAGCACTAGTTCCACTGGTAGATTTACTTAGAACAAGGGAAAAATGTCAAGTTGTGGGGATGTTTTCATTTTCTTTACAAAGACACTGCAGTCCTTTCATTCCTCTGTGAAGTTTGTTTCAGCTTGTACATAATTGTTATGCTTTATATAGCAGGTGTGCAACTTTCTGTGTCTGTCGGCGTTCGCCGTAACCATAGCGACTTACCGTTTTCAACATTGGCAAGTCGGTGCATGAGCGGCAGCCATACAAGACACTGAGGAGGAGGATCAGCCATCAACACATCCAGAAATGTGTTCAGCATAATCTTCTTCTAGAGAGAAACAGGCGCAAGTGAATCAAACAGTTCCCCCCAACGAAACATAAAGAGATGAAAAAATGAAAGAAATAAAATAAAGCTCTCAGTTATCCTCGGCCTACCTGCTGAGGGAAGCACATCCGCACCGAATGCTCCGTGTAGCCGAACGACGGGCCCTCGAACACCGCCGTGGGGAGCTTCAGCACCTCCCGGAGGAACTGGTCGAACTTTGCGAACGCCATGACTCCGCTCGAGTCTGAGATCTGTGAAAAAACGTCTGAGGGACAAGCGATTGTTTGGCTTTATTGTCAGAAAAGAAAGGGAAAAAACCTCCAAATGCTCCATCATCTCTTTTGCATAATTTCACCAGAACCTGAATGCATGCACAATTCATTCAACTAATGCATGAAGGGTATGTGCTTCAACAGCGCCCCTCTGTGTTTAAATTAGGGAACTGCAGGAGGACATGAAGTTGGAAAGGAAGATGTCTACAGCTTAAATTACGATTCTTTCTAAATCCTCAGACATTAAACGGTTAAGTCAGTGAAAATTGTACCCACAGCGCAGCTTGTCCACAATCTTTCCTCCGCACATCGTCGCCAGCATGGCTTTCATTGAGAAAACGGTCAGCTTCCCATGACTTTCACTGCATGTTAGGGAGAAAAAAGAAGAAAGAAAAAGAGATGCATAATCAGCAAAAATATCAGTGTGATTAAAAACTGTTGATGCTGGGTCGCTGCAACTTCTTTGTTTAAGCAAAAAATGTGTTTTAGCACATTATCAGTGTAACAAATCAAACTAATACTCAAAATAATTAGAAATAGTGACACAGACATCAAGTTTTGTGGCGCAAATAACCCCCCCAAAAAATCAATATCAGTTACATTCATCTTTTAAATGTATTTAAAAATATGAAGAAGTAAAGCCTAAAAGGTATACAGTGTTGTGAAAAATCATTTTCTTCCCAAACTATTTTTTTTCTGTTTTTGCTTTAGTGGTAAATTTAATGTCTAAGATCATCAAACTAACACAAAGATAACCTAAATAAACACAAAATGCAGCTTCAAATGAGAATGTCATTAAGGGACAAAGGACCAAGTGAACATAATTACTGATTTAAGTTTAGGCTTTGACTAGGCCTCCGCTTAAAACTTCAAGATGTCGTGCCGAGGATCATCGTTCTGCTGCGTAAGCCGAAAGTTTGAGTTTATTAAGGTCAAAACCAGCTTGTCGCATAATTCTCCTTACGGATTTTTCTGGTAGAGAGCAGAATTAATGATTTCATCAAAGCAGCCCCAGACCATCACTCTACCACCACCGTGTTTAACTTCTGGTATGAAGTTCTCTTTCTTAAACCGGATGTAATGGTTCACACGCCTTCCAAAAAGCTTCACTTATGTCTCGTCAGTCTACAGAATATTGTTCAAACGCTCTTGAGGATCATCCAGAGAGATTTAAGGTTTTAAATCTTTACTGGTTTTGTCCACATAACACTCCCAGTCTCTTTTAAATCGCTGAATCATAAACAACGACCATAACTGAAGTAGGCGAGCCCTGCACTACTTTAGATCGTGTTTTTTTTTTTTCGTGGTCACTCTTCTGTCGTGGATGTACTGTTTGAGTAGCAATCAATGCTGGGAAGGTTCACCATTCTTCCATGTTTTCTCCATTTGTGGACAGTGACTCACACTTTGACTCACTCGAGCCTCAAGGCCTCAGAAATGGCTTTGTAATCCTTCCCAGACTAAAGGAAGTCAATAACTTTTATGCTTTTATCTGTTCTCGATCGAGCCAAGTTTCGCTTTTCGAGATGTTTTAAGCCGTCTTTGCTTCCCGACTCTACAAGCGTGGCAGCGGTCAGGGCTGAATCACAATTAATTCAGGACTGCAGAAAGGTCAAAGGTAGGCAATTATTTCTTCACATAAAGCCTTAATAAATGAGATAGGTACTTGTAAACTTTCTTTCAGTGTACTTAGTTCAATTATGTCTGCTATTACAGTCCGTTTGACGATCTGAAGCATCTAAATGAGACAAAAAGAGAAGAGATTAGCTTGGGGGATATGAAAGGATTGTGTAATTAAGTTGCCATCATTCTAAACGCTCAGCTGTTTTACTTCAGCTTATTTGTTTTCTCTTCGGTCCTGAGGTACCACGGAGCGCGGATGGTGCTCCTGCCGAACTCAGATTGGACATAAGGGACGGATAACAAAGCTGCTTCCTGTAATCGCAGCCATTAACTCAAAGTTTCCCAGACACGCAGCAGCAGCGTAATTAATAATGGAGCAGGACTGGAATGGCTTCACAGACAGAAGTCAACCAACTAAATGGGTCCAGGAACGGACAGGGCAAGCAGCCAATCAGGAGCGCACGTTTATCTCGTGATAGAGAGCGTTATTACCTGAATGATAAATGCTGTTGTTTCTGTTTTTTACAGGATTAAGATCTGGAGACAAACATAATCATGAAAGAGAATTGATTTTATGTAACTTCTGTGTTGATATGTGGATCATTATCTATCTGAAAATCCCAGTGATTGCATATTTTTGTTGTTTTTTTGGTAGCACATTATTTAAGTGTTCAGTCCCACAGCATCACAGATCCTCCAACTTACTTCACACTGGGCATGAGGTGCACCCAGTTCTAGTTACACTCCCAGTACAGCTTAGCTAACACGTTAGCATGCTAACATCAACATGCTGATAGTGTCTTATGGCTGCCAAGGAGACTTGGCGACACTAATCTTTGATGTAAACAGTGAGTAGTGGAGAATTTATGTTTCCTCCGTTATTCAAGTTCAAGAATACTTTACTGATCTCAAAGGGAAATTAAACGAGCGGCTGGCAAAGAGCAACCCGATTCGGACCCTCAAATCAGCCCTGTGGGGCTTTTGGGGCTTCCTGTGACCACTAACTTTACTATTATTGAAGTTACTAGTAACTTTAAAAAAGTTAAATATATACCACTGCACTGAACCCCCGTTGAAAACCTCATGGTTATTCCACCAAATATAGATTTCTGAACTCTTCCCAAGTTAAAACATTAGCATTGTTGTTTGTAAATGATTAAGAACTTGTCTTGTTTGGTTATGTGTATTATTTGAGGACTGAAAGCACGGCACCAATAAATACTAAATTTTTGCTTAGAATTTCGGTAGTTCATTTTACTCAAACATATACCTATTATAAGTAAAATTTGAAAAACTAATCATTTTCTTAATTTTTTCCAGAGCTGTATATTAAATAAAAACCTGACTTCTATTTATTTCAGGGGGGTTTATATGAGGCAGCAGAAACTGCGCCAACGACTGAATATTTGATCTTATATTAAGGTTGGATTTTTCTAAAATGTTTAGTGTGTGGTTATGCTAGTGTAATAATAATGAATTTATTTTAAGGGTGTCTACTAATCTTTACGAGCGATGCCAAATAGATGCATTGTGACGTTACTAAAATGAACGCTCTCTGCTCATTAGCTGCTACTATACTTTAGTTTCAGTCCGCACGTTTCCAACCTGTCGTAGGTGGCCACCATGAAGTTCAGCAGCAGGCCGATGGACTGCTCCACGTTGATCTGGTGGGTGGTGGGCAGCCGCTTGTTGAGCTGGTAGTAGATAGAAGACAGAATCGTCTCCAGCCGCGACACGCTGATCTCGGCGTTGTGATCCAGCGTGTTGAGCCCGTTGTCTCGGAAAGCCTCGATCATGTTCCAGACGTCCACCAGATGGACTGCGAAAAGAAGCGGGGAGAGAGCGGGGGCGCACGCTCTGATCAGCTGAGTGCGTATTCATGTCTGCGGTCACCGCACAAGCGTCTTCGGACAGAAATTTGACAGAAAGAGAGAAAGAAAGAAAAAAAAAAAAACAAGAGTCTGCGTTCTCTTACGGTTGCATCGCTTTTGGACAAACCGGAGTTTGCAGGCAGTCCGATAAGTTGACAATCTGATAACGTCAAAGTTTTGTGCTCCTGAAAAACAAAACAATAATGGAAAAATATATGAATTAGTATCACTTTACAACAAGACCCCATTATAAATCATTAATGTATAGGTAAGAAACTAGTTATTAATATGGATGTTAACAATCTAACCCATTAATAAGGAGCCTTAGTGCCGTATTTAAAGGGCTAAGAGTTAAAGTGTGATTAACGTCTTGCCAACTAATTCTGCATCAGCAATTAAACACTCCAATAGTTGCTTTATCAGCCATTATATATGGTCAATTAATGATTATGTTGGCTATTGATTCATTTATTCATTATTCTTATAATAAGTCGATTAATTTGATAAAAAACGGGAACAATCTCCAGATTCTCTTTGTCTTGTTTTATACAATATTAGAAATACATTAAAAGAAGTAAACAAACCCCTCAATTCCCCTTTTAAGTAAGAAAGTAAACATTTTATCGGCTAAAACGCAACAACTTAGCATTCCTTTAACATCTGTAGCTGAAATCTGCAAAAAGAAATGCTTCTAACGTCAACGTTTAGAAAGCTCAGCCCTTTCTGCTCGACTTTGCATCACAACAGAGCAGGGCTGATCCGTTGATTATTTTTTGGGATTAAACGATTAATAATTAGATAGAAAAAGTTGCTTGAAAGGAGACTTTATTTAGAAAATTTGCACCAGGTGAAACTAAAACTGTGACTTGAGATGTTCTCGATAGAATATATTTACAGAAAAAAGTTATTTTTATTTTAAATGCAAAATGTATATTTTTTGTGCAGTACTGTCTTAATTCTTGATCTGACGCGGTAGTTCTCTCAGCAGATCGTCTCTTTTTGAGTCTGCGTACTCCAGTTAAGGGTTAATGGATTAATCATCTTAGTCCCAAATGGTATAACACCTTTCTCCAAACGCAAACAGGCTATATGCAGGCACGTTTAAACACGATTACTGCATGTCAGAGAGCAAGCTGGTCAAACAGTGACACACGAGCTGACAACGAGTAGAGGAAAGAGACGTCTCTGAGTTGACTGCACTCACTCATTTCCATGAAGAGCTGTCTCTTCTCGACCATGGCCTTGCCTCGTTTGCTGCCTTCCTCGATCATTCTGTGGCACATCAAACACAAGAGCATGCAGCGCTTACTGTTCAGTCAGCAGCGTCGTATTAATGCAAGGCAGAGGCTTTTAAACGGAGAACGTTCTCTGGTAAATTGTGACTCAAAACCAACAGAAAATGCCTTGAAAAAGCGTTCACACCCGCTGAACTTTGAGGTTTTTACCCCAACCTCAACGGACTTTTACAACACAAATTAGTGCCGGATGGATTTCTAGATGTAGAAAAATGTGTGCTGATTTGTGTTCGCATCCAGAAAACCCTCGCAGAAATCAAAAGGATTTGTTTGGTTCCAATTCGTGTGATCAGAGAACAGTTGGCCTCGTCAATCTGGCAGAAAGTAGGCGACGGCGTTTCTCCTTCATGAACATTATTCTTTCCACGGGGGAGTTTAAACTTCCATTGGAGGATAAATCAATTGTTTACCAGTAAATAAAATTGCATCCTTCTACTGCTGACTATTATGTAGATATATTTTTAACAATTTTCATGCAATTTTAAAGTGATCTTTTTTCAGGAAAGTTTAACAATGAAACTGGTTAATCAGATATAAATAGGAAACTTTTTTTTTTTCGTGTGTACAAGCTCGTGGACATTGAGTGGAGTTAGGAGAGACAGTGAAAGAAATAACAGATGAACTTGTTTTAGTTTGCAAAAAAAATCTGGGATCTGGAATCAACTTCACGCACTGAATAATTGTAGAAAAACCAGAGAAATTTGCTAAATGTTGAGCTCTGAGGAAAAGGCTAACTAGCATTAGCACAGCAGGGCTTTTTTGTATTTAAACACAAAAAGCAGAAAGATGTTATTATTACAGTGGTATGGTTGCTGTTATTTTATCGATAGGACAGTCTGTTTGAAATGAAAATAATCAGTAACAACACCTTTGCTTGATAAATGGTTTGAATTCTTCATGTTACTTTCCGCTATCGGCACTAAGCCAAATTTGCTAATCACCTGTTAGCTGCATTGACTTTAGGAAATAAATAGGGTTACATAGCGCTAATGATAGACATGTAGCTTATTAAACACACTGCAGAAAAAAAAATAATTTATTATAAACCACAATTTGTTTTTGTGTTGCAGTTTTTGTTGATTTTTAGTAAATTATCTATGTTTTGTGTTTCTTCAATAACATTTTTAATGTCTATATTTGTATTAACTGTAATGGAAAGAGCGTTTAAACCTTACAATAAAATTTCGCAATCATAATTTACTCTTCTTCCTTCTCTAAGGCCAACCGAGAGAAATTTTATAATCAACTTTTTCTCCAGTATGGACGGCAATGGGTTATTTTCACGTGTGACGATATTTCACAGCAGAAACCATGGGGTCGACAAAATCCCGTGTACAGCTGCAATTATTTTCATTTTTCTTGTTTTGAAGCATCTTACGCCTGAACCCGACGGCTCTAAAGCGCTTACCTGCTGATGATTAGATCTCACTCAAAGTGATGCCTTGAAGGTCAAACCTATAAGGAAAGGACACAGAAACATTAGTGAAAGCTTCATATAGGAGATTTTCAACTTCTTAATCTCGCCAAAAATGTATTAGTGTGTAAAAAAAAAAAGTAATTAAAGCCTCCCTTTCTTCTTCCCCTCAAAGACTTCATTAACTCTCAATCTAGGCTGTTGTTTCCCCCTCTCGGCTCAAGTAGAAAGACATGGGTGCGCTTGTTTCGGGACCCGTCCAGCGCCTGTGGTCCGCGCAAATGATAATTCTCCATGGCATCCAGGTCAGCAACGCCTGCATCCTGTGGGCTAATGACACCAACAGAGCTGCACGGAAACTGTTTAATGATGATGGACAAAGAGCGCATTAAGGCCCGGCCAATGAGCGAGGAGCGCCGGGCGTCCCCGGAGGGAGGACGTCGGGACCACGGGCTCCGTGCGCCTCCGGGCGGGCGCGGGTCATGTGCGCGCTGGATGGTCAGCTGAGCGCGCTGAGGTTCGACAAACCGCGATGAGTGTTTAGCTCCATCCATCTTTCCATCAACTCTTTCTTTCAATGCTGGCTTTCTTCTTGCCACTCTTCCACAAAGGCCAAATTTGTACAGAGGGTCATTTTACGGAAAAGAAAGGGGAAAAAAACCCTCCACATATCCAAGCACCGTTACGGTGAAAATTACGGTTTAATATCATGTGCATGATATGAGAACCTAAAAAAGCAGAGTCCACACTTTGTTCTCAATGCCAAGGACAGAGAGTCACAAAGACCGGAGAAACAGTCTGGCTCCCTTACAGCTGCAGAGAACAAACATCTACTGCACAACAAAACCTCGGTGTGTAGCTCAGACGCTTCGTTTGGTGAAAGTTCATTACTACGTATAGTAATAAAAAACGTAGCATAAAAACGTAGCATGGTCAAAACGACAGAGTTTCAGTGAGCCTCTTGTTCCTCATCCAGCCTGTCAAATTAGGCCACTGGTGTTAGACGAAACAAACAGATGGACTCTACTTACTTTGAGGGTGGGTTGCCTGCTCTGGATTTTATTGAGGGGTGTTGGAGTAAATGCAAATGCACACCAAATTCTTTTTAGACTTTTTTCAAAAGTTTCGACGACCACGTCATCGTCGTATCGACTTCTTTACACCTCCCACCACCGGTTTGTGTCTGTCCCTCAGACAAAAACAGAGTATTTTGAATCTTGTGTTTGTAATTTGTCCAAATTACAAACACACAGGTTTATGCTCGACACCATTAGCGGCTGCAGAAGACTTCTCAACTTCTAACAGGACAACGACTCTAAGCCAGAACTGCAATGGTACGGTTTACATAAAAGCATGGATTAGACCGGCCCAGTCAAAGTCCAGAACTGAATCTAATTGAAGATCTGAGACATACCCCAGAAGGCATGCAGCTGTAATAGCAGTGAAAGGTGATTTTAAATGGTTTAAATACAAACGCACACCACACAGTTCAGAACTTAATCTGTACAAAGAAAATTGGCAGTTATGCTCCAAATTTCCTTCACTGAACTACATAAAATAAACTACTTAACTAATAAGTGACAAAAATCCTTAAACAAAATCAAGGTGTATGACTCCTTCCTATGGAAGACAATATGTCCCATCAAAAACTGAATTAAAAATACCTCTGAAATTTGAATGATGTAAATTTGTACTTACTTTCTTCAGTGTTAAAATGTATGTTATTCATTTTATTAATATTTTATGCAATTTGTACTTTCTTTAGTGTTAAAATATATATTATACACTAAAAAAATAAGTACAAATATATAGCATTCAAATTTCAGAGGCATTTTTTAATTCAAATCCTGATGGCACATATTTACTTCCATACATTTTGTAAAAGAACTGTAGTTTTCTGCACAGAAGGCCTTGATATGGCACCTGATAAATATTTACAATCTCAACATATATTCTTAAACTTATCTTGTTCCTTTATTCCAGGAACAAAGAGGACAAACCACAGAAAGCCTGAAAGGTGTCGCTGGAGAAACCCAGTAAGAACGGAGATCTACACGGATCAGAACATAATTTGAAAAACCTTCAATCAGACACCAGAAAAACCCTGAAAGCCTTGTGAAAAGCATCTGGTTTCTAGTCAAAGCCCAATTAAGACACAAGTCAGCACAACAATACAAAACATATCATCTGATCCAGAAACTCTTTTTGGATTCATGAGCAGATAACTGAGGTTTTCCACTGGTGGTTTACTCAGAATACAGCATCCTTTGCTAAGGAACAAGTTGTTAATTGTGTTTTTTTTTTCTTCTCAGGAATACATTATAGAGGTTAGCACATCGAGATCCCTTCTGGTGGGATGATTAAAATCAAAGTGTGGCATCTGAAGCCAACTGCGTTCAATCAGTTGCACATAAACAGAAAGTATAATCAGTAATAAATTACAGATAGCTATTTAAATAAGTAGGACTGGCTGACATCGGGACTGTGAGGGTACAGTGCAACCGCACCTTCGGTTCGGCGGTAATGATAACATCCGAACAGAAGGACTCGCGGTTACTGCAGTACCTCCTCACCGCTGATATCATTCATTTCTCCCTTCCTACCAGCCTTCATCCTCACTCCGAGCAGATCACTCCAGGAGGAACAAAAAATGCAGCCATGTTGCCTGATGATTTTACTCATTATTTAGGTTATCTTATTTCCGCAATGGGAGCTCGTGATGATTTGATTTTCTTTCCCTCCCCTCCTCCTCCTTCTCCTTCTCCTCCTCCTTTTTCTTTTTTTTTCTTGATTCCTAAATAATGCAAATCTTGCATCTTGTCAAATCTCGCAGATGCCTCGACAGTATTTAAAGAGAGACGGCCTTTACCGGATGAACCGCAGGCAGGTTGCGTTTAGAGCATCGTCACCATCGGCGGCGCGAAGCGGCTGCGGCGGCGGCGGCGGCGGAGTCAGATGGGGAGGCTGAGCGGAGTGGTCCAGGGATATTTCCTCCGTGATTCACAGCCGCATTCTCACGTCTGACAAATCCACGAGCGTTTTCCGCCGACGTTACAGCTGTCGGGATGGTAAAGGACGGCTCGGTCCTGCCGTCATCATATTTTTTCGAGCTGCTCTCCGGTTTCATTCGCCTTTGAAGCTCGGCAACTGCGGTCGCAGCCGTACGTAGAAACGCACGAGCCGAGCCGTTCCGCCGCTCGGCATCAGCAGCGACCCAGCGGCAGGGGACGGCAGAGCGCAGGCAGGCACGCAGATGCCATGCGCGAACACCTACTGTTTTACGCATGCGCGCACACGAGAGTATGGTAAGCCGTTTGTGTAAATAATCGATTTTTTTTTGTAAGAGCCACTAGCTAAATTATTTGATTGCCACGTAATTAATTTTCTTTAGGAAATAACAACTGAAGATAACACAAATAAATAAATGACACGCACCCGTTTGTAGGTGTACAGCTACGGTGAAATAAAAATAAAAAAATAAGTATTTCCCCACTTACAGATGTCCTTAAAACTATCGAGCGATGTTAATACAACATAATTCGAGTAAATAGAAAAATCGGTTTTCAAATTATTTAGTGTATTAAAAGGAAGTAAGTATCCAAAGCAACCTGGCTCTTGATGAGCTCAGTTTCACTACCGTAGCGGCTAAATGTCAGGTCTGTTTAATTAAGAAATCCCTTCAATGGAACTTGACAGGCAACATGAAGCAGACTAAACAGAAATTCAATGGATGGGTGTAAAAAAGTACAACAGCTAAAATAGTCAAAAACTTTCAAAGAGGGAATTTGGTTCTGTGTAAAGTTTTAAAACCAAGTTAAACCAGGTTGTGAAAATATCCAAAATGTTTAGCTCTTTTAGAAAGACCATTAATTAACATGAAGGACTTGAAGAAGAAAATCTAGAGTTCAGCTATTACCCCTCATGCGGCCAGAAAATAACTTTCAGCTCCGTTTGATTGCTATAATTACTAGCAAAACCAAAACAGGAAATCCACAAGACATATTTTAAAATTATTTTATTTATAATAGATTATAACTTTAAAATACATTTTGTTTACAAGTGCAGATTACTATGTTACATTCACTGGAGTTTTACTGGACAGAGTGAAACAGACGAGTGTAGCAAATAAAACTAGTGACAAATGTGACATTTAAAAAAAAAAAAAAACACGGTGATTGTCCATAGTAACCTCAACCCAGCTAGTTCTCGATTAACCACTCATCTAAATTTACACAAACAGGTAGCTTCAGTAAAAATGAAGACTGCCGCCTGATGCACGTTTCAGTCTTCGTCAAGCTGCCTCTCTTGAAGTGCGTTCCAGTCCCCAAATTTAACTGTAAATACAGCCATTTCTGATTCTATTCAGCCATGTAAGACGTGCTATTCACATTAAAATGACTGACTGCATACAAGAGTTTTTTTTTTATCTATTACTACTCTGAAACCCAAATTTAACAGATATGACCATCCAGTTATTAAAAAAAACAATATACAGGTAAAAATGGATCAACTTAAAATTTTAGACTGAGCCATATTTTTTTAAAAAAAAAAAAAAAAAAGAAAAGTAATAATTGTAGACAAAGGATGCACACAGACAAAATCTCCAAAGAATGGTTTAGACAAATGGACTGGTTGCAAAGACTGGTTCACACAGACATACCTGGGCCATTTCAGATGCAAAGTTAAATCATTCCTTATTGTGGTCTGTCCTGTCTGCAAGTTCTAGGAAAAAAAAAAAAAAAAAAACTAAACTAAACGGACAGCCAATATATTACTATAGCAAATACCCTGTTGATTTGTCCCAAAAAATAGTAAATAGATCTTTTATATTAAAATATATTAATTAAAATATATTACTTTAACAAGTCTGAGATTATAAACAACTTCTGATTATTATTATTATTATTTTTTTAAGGTGGCTTTGGCATTTTACCTTGAAAATAACGGCTATAAAACAGGAAAAATTTTCACCCGTGCTGGATATTATAAAATATTATTCGATTTTTTTTTTTGTTTTTTTGCTTGAGTTAACAGCTTTTCGCTGATCCCTTTAAAAAGTAATATGAGGTCAAGTAAGCACTTGGATTGTGTTAATATTACAATGTACTTTATGTCATAATAGTTATTAGGCTTACAATACCTCATATCACCTTAAAATGGAAGCTTTTCATTTTCTGGGAAGGTCAGAGATAAACGGTTATACTCATCTAGAAATTTGGCACTTTTTGTACCAAGAGATCATTTTTTTTAGAAAACCTACAATTATTTGACCATATAATATTTTTGCTTTCGATTGTCAAACATCTTTTGTAGTAACAAAACTGGATAAGTGTGCTGCACAAAGAAAATATAGACTACCTACATCTAGTATTTACAGTGAAAAGAAAAGATTTTCATTTTCTCCCTTTGAGTGTTTTTGTTTTCAACTGTTATCTATACAGGAAAAAAACCTCCAATTTATGGGACACTTTAACTAAAAAACGGTTTTAGGGAGGGAAAATGTGGCTTTTAACAGTAATAGATGACGTTAAACTTTTATTTGATATGGGAAAAAAAACAACAACAGGGAAGATAAACCACTTTCTATTAAAAAATTTAAATTTGAATTTAAGTGCTACACTGAATTCCAACTTTACAACATGATCCTTTGCAGGTAATTTGATGCCATAATTTTTATGTGCAATCCACATGGGCAGATTTTAAAAAAACATTTTATGCATAATTCCTCGTTAAATCCATGAAAGTGTGCTCTGTATTAATGTACCGTTTATATATATATATATATATATATATATATATATATATATATATATAAAATTATTACTTCCCTGCCACACATGCATAAAAATCCAGGCAGGAGATACAGTACAACCTATGATTTTCTCTAGTGCCTTTTCTCGATAGTAACCCCAATTAACCCAATGATAAAAAGTTCAGTCTCAACACAGAACAGTCATGAAGTCCTAAAATTAGCAACATTCATTTTCCCTCCTTTAAAAACAATACACACACACATATATATATTTTGTATATAAAAATATAGACTAATCTAGCTGAGTGCAAACGTTGAATGTGAGATTTCTCACACATCTGACTGAGTATTAAACTGATTGAAAATTGATTGGCATCTGTAAAAACAGAGGTGTGGATGAAAAAACAAGACCGTCCAGTGTAAATTCTTGCTTTTTCCCCAACAGTGTTCAGATCCTGGCTGTCGCAGGCGTAGAACAGTTACGATACTGCACCACATTTTCTATTCACTCTAAATAAACCTAATGCCATATTTGTGCCTCGATGGCATGTGAAGCTTAGGCATGGGTCGGTATCGAGGAATAACCAAACAAATAAAATAAAAAAAAAGTCCACTTGATTCGTTGTTTCAATTTCATTTTGATGAGATGCCAGAAAAATAGCTGGAGTGAGAGCCGAGTAAGAACAGGAAGGCGATGCTATAAAGTTTCACGTCACAAAATAAAAGACAAATTTGGCCGTTTTGAAATAGTTCAGGTCAGGCAAAACACTTACAAAGTTTAGAAACTACAGAAGCGCAGCTCAAAACCAAGCTAATTTTAAAATGTTAAACGCAGCATGTCTGTTGAGCTAGCCAACTCCAGCAGACAGTGTCTTTAGCTAAGCAGCTAAAATCAATTTGTCAAACATCCATGGAGCTTCCAGTTAAATCGAAACGTTCTTGTTGAGCCATACAGGCTTGAAAACAGGGATTTCAATTGCTGATTAAAATCCGTTGCCAATAACAGTTCAAGAAAAAAACAGAAGAATTTTAGCGTTTTAATAATTTTACTTATTATATCCATAATAGCAGCATCTGGGCGCCATTGACCACTACACAGTTTGATTTAAAAATGTTATTATTGAGGAAAAAAAACAAAACAACAAAAAACACCCAAGGCTAAAGTTCAGCGATCCGTGGCGTGTTTGTGTGTGTGTGTGTGTGCGCGCTTTAGCAGAACGGCTAGAGCTACAACCAGCACCAATGTGTGTGTTCCCCTTAAAGGAGCGTTGAGGTCGTAAGATGCAGGAACTTAAAAACACCAATTCAAGTTGACAAAGTTAATAAATTTGTAAATCTATATTGGAGTAAATATAACTAAAATTAATTTTAACCCAAGATTCATAAGGAGTTAAAGTTTAGGTGAGTTACTATGCCTATGCATCTTATTTACAATGTATTAAAGTCAATGTATTATTTTACCAGCAGCAGATTTATTTTGTTTTGATTTTTTATTAAAGCAGTTAGACCATTGTTTTAAATATAGTTGCAGCCTTTGTGGTACAATAAAAACATGATACTGAAAACTACAATCGGTCTATAGGGTCAAATGACAGAAAAACAAGATGTGGAGTTTTCTTCCTCTAATTTCTCAAAATGTTAAATGTACAGTGGAGATGATACTTAAAAAATGGCAAAATGCTGAAACTGCAATTATAATTCATCTATAATTGTTGAATTAAATTTGATCTCAAAATTATTCGTTTTTCAGTTTTTTTTTCTTGGAAAAAGTGTTATTTGTAAATAAATAAATAAAAAATTTTCCTCTAAATCTGTTTTTTGTTTTCATCTTTAGAAAAAGTATTTTTGACTTTTTCTTGACATTTAGCTTTCTTGTTGTTATAACTTGTTTTTGAAAATGTTTTTTTTTTTTTTACATTTTTATTTTAAAATTATGACCTATTCCATGACATATCAGCATTTTTAATTGAAAAAACAAAGTATTAACTACTTCTGGACATTTTAACATTTTTTTATATTTGGACTTTATGCTACTCTCCCTTGACTTTTTCTTAAAATGGACAGAGAGAGAAAAAAAAATTATTTCTCAATTTGTTCTCCAAGTGACCCTGATATTGTGCTGCACATACCGGCCCATGCCTAATGAAACCCTTACATTGTTTAGTTTTATTAACTCCATTTCACTGTACCACTAAACATGACACACACAGCTTCGAAGGGCCAATACAGTCATCGTGGCAGAAGGCTCCACAGCCTTTGCACATGATCATCGCCTTCAGTCGGCAGTAGCATTTCGACTGAACGTCCTCCATGTTGGCGCCCTCGATGAAGGACTGCTCGTGCGAGGGTTCGCCCTGATTGCTGTGGTCGAGCGCATGACCGGCTGGTATTGTGGTGACGGTCACCGAGAACGACATGACGCTCCCACAGATGCCCCCGCCGTCGACCTCTGATGAGGGCGCAGAAGAGGCGGTGCCCGCGGTGCTGTGGTTCAGAGTGTGAGGTACAGACATGCTGATGGTGCCGCCGTAGCTGGAGGCTACCGCCGACTCCTGATTGCCGAGCGTCCTCTGAAAGGCAGTCAGCTGCTGGTGACCGGGGTCCATGAGGGAAAGATATGGCTCAGAGTTTCCTTGATTGTTATTGCGGAGTTCGAGGTGATTTCGGTGCGCCGGAGAAAACGGACTGCTGTCTTTGGCTTTAGCACTGGCGACGCCGTTGTCGGCGCCGCCGGCTCCATTGCTCTCGGATCCAGGCTCGGTCTTTACGCCAGAGCAGTGCTGAAAACTTGCCGGGTCGTTGGCCCTGGTAACCGCACATCCCTGCTGCTCGGTTTTTACCCTAGTAACGGACACGAGATCTTTCTTTGCTGGTTCTTCCGTCTTAGCCGTCTCCTTTCCGTCTGTGCTTTCCCTCTTCAAAGCAGACTTGTTGGGGCAGACTGAAAGCTGCAGTCTCCTGCTCTCTGATCCCCTCCCGTACGTGGACACGTTGAGCAGGTAATGCCCAGTCATGGCCGGCTTGGGGATCTTCCTCCGGCCCAGAAAGCCAACCAACACTCTGGACTGCTCCCGACACTCCTGTGCGTGCAGCATTTGCGGAACCCTGTGGTGTGCGGGCAGCGGCCCGGCGCCTCCAGGCGGCTGGCTCTGTTGCTGAGCCTTCCTCTGCATCAGCGTCTGCAGGATCTGCTCCTGGGTTTCCTTATCGGGAAGCTCCCGGTGATGTTTTGTGCATTCTGCGGCTCGTACGGCGGTGTTGGCTTGCGGAGGCACGGGCCTGTCTCCTTTATGATCAACGAAATGTGTAGTTTTCCCCTTACTTCCAGACGCCTGGCCCGACACCCGAATGTCCGTACTGGATAGGGGTTTTGGGAGGATCTGGTCCAGTGGAACCTCTTTTCCCTGCAGCAACTGCGTCACAAGGGGGTTGTTTGCTGGAATGCAAGAACTGGTTCTGGTTAGTGATGCAGCACTTGTTGGGGCTTCCTTATCCTTTTCAGTCTGCACTGATGAATGTTCTACTGAAGCATTGGAGCTCTGGTGGACTGTGCTGGTAAAATGATTGCTTTGCCTGTCGTCAGCTGGTCTTGAGCTGAGCGGAGGAGAAAGCCCACTGGATTGGTTGCTGCTGCTGGTAGCTGGTAATCTGGAGCAGGCCTGTGGGGAAGTTGGGCTGAGGCTGGGGCTGGGTGACGGCTGCCTGTGATCGCCACCGCTACCTCCACCCGGCCCCGGGCCCGGCACCGCTCCCTTCGACGCGGACGACACGGCGGCGGCTGCTACGCGCTGCGCTCGGGCGAGCTGAGCTTTGGCTTTGATGTAAGCCAGCGTGCGAGCTCCGGTGTGGCCCGGGCTACTGAGCGGGCCCTGGAGAGGAGTCTTTGGCGAGACTTGGCTTGGCGACAGAGGGACGGGAAGAATTCGTGACACTGGGATCTGGAAAAGAGGGAAATGTTTGACACTTTTTGGATTTCCTCTGGGGCATTTCACAGGGAATAAAGTCGAGTAAGTTTACGAAACCTTGAAGGAAAACCACCTTTGAAAATTTATTCTTGCACTGTTAAGTTACAACTACACAAATGAATGTATTTTATTAGGATTTTATGCAATGAATCACCACAAATTGCAAAGAGGCAATGAAATGATTAAATTCCTCTACAGCTCAAGTTCAGTCAGATTGAAAGAAGAGAATCTGTGAGGACAAATTTTCAAGTCTTTCCATAGAGCTTCAACTAAGTTTGTTTTATTCACTTGTGTTTGTGGCAATGTTTGGTTAGGCTTGTTGTCCCGCAGTAACATGAACTAAAGTCTTTAACATCTCACAGGTTCCCATTCATGACTGCCAGGTAGTTACCTCCATCCATCTTCAAATTAGTTATGAATTCTCACTCGAAATCTGGTAAGTTATTTAGTTTTCAGAAAGTTGTTTGTTCACTGAAATTCTCCAAAAAACTTCTGAGATCCTAAAAACAGCGGCTTGATTCAGACTGAATTAAACACAGATTAACAGGACTGCACAGGATTTTATTTCAGGGTGTCGGCACAAAGGAGGCTGAATACATTTGCATGCTGCACAGATTTTATTCATAGCAGATTTTTCTTACTTGTTATAAATTTTGAGCTACAACATGTTCATTCATAACATAACGTGGTTATGACACGATAAAATGTGAAAAAGTGAGTTTATAGTTACCATCCTCTTTAAAAAAGACAAATGAGGAAAACCTTCGCTAAATGGAGAGCGTGCGCATTTCTCACCTTGAGCGGCGGGACCCTCTGACTTGGAGACGGCGTGGCGGGGCTGGATATGGACGACGCGGAGGAGACCGACGACACGGAGGAAACAGAAGACAAACGGGGCCTTTTCTCTGGAGTCACCTCCCCCTCCGTCTCGCTGAGGGTTTTCCTCTTGTGGGCGTCCGAGGCGGCGCCGGGCTCCGAGGCGACCTCTTCGTCGCCCGCAGCGGGTCTTGCCGCGGTCACCAGCTGGTCATCTTTTACATCTGCAATGGGCTTTAGCGGGGGGCTCTTCTTCACGGGCGACTCGGGGGGTTTCTTCTCCTCATCTTTCTCCTCCTTCTGTTGCTCTTCGTGAAGTGTGCCAGTCGGGCTCCGCTCGGCCAGTTTCTCCGATTCCAGCGTTTTCGCGGCCGCCGTCGCCGTCTGAGCGGCTGTGCTGAGCTTTCGATCCTCCGCGTGCTGCGACCGACGCGTCTTCATGGGCTCCGTGGCGGGGACGGACTCTTTGTGTCGGGGCAGCTCCTTCGGAGGGTCCGGGGATTTCTCCGCTGGTTTCTTGTCTCTCGTGGTAGCGTCGGTCTGAACGCAGTCCTTGGCGCTCTTCTTGTCCTCCAGAGGCTGAGCGGCTGGATTTGTCTGGCAGACAGGAGAGCGGCGCCTGACCGGCTCCTTATTCCCATCGGGCTTTATCAGCTCTTTGGACTCCTCGTAGCTGAGGCCTGAACTGCACAAAAGAGGAAAATTGAAAGACGTTTTTATTTCAAATATTAAATCACAAATATTTGTGATTTTTGACCTCTTTATGAATGCAAACAAAAAAACAAAAACAAACGTTTTTGGCACGTTCAAGGTTGAGAACATCTGCTTAGGGTTTGACGCTTCGCAGCAATTCTACACTTCCACTATCCACTGAAAAGTTTATTTATTTCACCGGCAAAAAGAAAAAAGTAAAACTCAATGAACCGGTTAATTACAGAGTAATGCATTTCAAGTGCTTACTTCTGTGAAATTGGATGGCTTATAGTTAATAAAAACACAAAATTCAGTTTCTCAGAAATTGTGAATGCTGTATAAGAAAAGTTCTTCCACCACTAAATTTTGCATCAAGGTTTTATTGCATAAAGGTGATAAATGGACCTTCTCACTGTGGAAACTTCAAACTGAATTATAAGCAGCTTTTCCCTTCCTGACCTTGATTTCTAAATGAAATCCACAACTGATTTCCCTTAGAAGAAAAAAAACAATAACTTTGGAGCATAAAAGCCCAGTTCTTTTCCCATCTAGCCCAGATATGCATTATCTGGGCCAGGTGAGCTGATGACGTCTATGATTCAGCTTTGCAATCCTCTTGGAGCAGTTTGCTTGTGCATCTTTTCCTGTTACATTTTATCCTTCCACTCAACTTTTCATCTATATTGCACTTACAGTGCTGTATTCATCAATCGGAACAGCCAGCTTCTGCAGCGATGACCTTTGTGGAGAGAGTCAATAATTATCCGATGGACACCTGTCAATACTACTGCATTGTAAGTTTGGACACGATTTTCTACGAAACTGAATTTTTAATTTTCATTTATCTTCAGCTACTGAGAAGCTACTTTCTTTAAAAGTCATAAACTGGAAACCTTTACAAACAATTATTATAAAGCGCCTTTATGGAGCTGGAATAAGCAAAGACGTCAGCAGCGGCTCATCAGTCTGTATGTGTGAACAGAATAAAGACGTATTGTAATCAGATGTCCCTCCAACACGAGTAATATGATAATCATCAGAATCTGATGACGATAATAACATGATGAGAAAGGCACACAGCAACTTTGCCAAAAGTCAAAGCATTTGGATGAGGAATCTGGAAGCTTGGCGCAAGATGCCGCGCCCCTTTTATCGTCAAGGCAGCAGGAGGCGAACGTGATCTCTGCGATGACGTGAAAAATAAAGCGATCCACTATCTAGGAGTTTTTGAAAGTTTGATCTGAACGGGTCAAAACCTACTTTCTATGATGATGTTGCATTTATTAATAAGTGAAAAGTGGCACTTGCTTCCACTGCTGCTCTGATAAAGCAACTCATTTTCAATAATCAGGGTTTCTGTAGATTTAACCGCCTCAAATTTAAGACTTTTTAAGACCAATATGAATAGAAATTAAGACCTGTATCATGACAGAAATGGACAAAAAAAAATGCAAATAAATAAGTTGTATGGCAATAATGAACATTTTTCCAGACAACTGGTGATCAAATTGCACTTATTCAAGTTAGCTTGCTAGCTAGTGTGTTAGCAGCTAGTTAGCAGAAAAGTCCCAAGAGAAAAATAAAAAGAAAACTACAAAGAATATACAAGATTAAATGGTCCTGCCACAACAACATTTAAGTCCTGTGATTAACACTTTTTTTAATGAACGTAGGACATTTTAAGGCTTTAATTTTAGATATATTAATGTTGGTGTTAAACAGGATGTGCAGACACCCTGGTTAACATTTGAGTTTGAAACAGACCTGAGAAAAACTATAGAAGAAGAGCATATTTATGCTTCTGTCACCTTAATGTAATCCCCAGTTTTTCTCTTAAAAAGAAGAAGCTGGAAATAGTCAAATGGGTCCTTGTTTATAAGCAGTGTGCCTTTTCAAACAGCTGATGAGCAGTGTGCAGCAAGAATGAAACTGTTGAAATATATCTTAATATGGGTATGTGATGCATGCCTACTAGTGAGGTAAGGATAGTTGATTTACAGCATTTTAAACTTCTGTAGAGCTACTGAGGTGTCACTTCTACACATGGCATTCATTTGAACAACTTTACTGTAAATTATGTGCAAGCCTGAGCTTTAAGTAGTTCGATATCGGATGAGGATTTAGAATCGGCTCTCACTTTTTCTTAAATGTCTTGAGTCAGTATGGGGCAAAAAATAAGATCACAATCAACCCACCAATGAAGACATTTTCCAAACAATGAAAATCTCCTTCAGATTTGACAACTGCATGAATATGAACAACTCTACCTACTTTTCCCCGTAGTAATTTTCGAAGAAAGCCTCCTTCCAGTGCTCAACTTTCTTCTCCTTCTCAATTTCCTGACGCATTCGGACCTGCAGCTCGGGCGTGAATTCCCCTGCGAGAGGAGAAAGTTTTATTTCGATTTAGAAAAAGAGAAAGCAACACAAGATTGTCTTGGAGATATTTTTTTTCTCTTTCTCTCTTTATACGAGAAACGAATGTCATCATCAACCGGGAGCCAAGCGACTAACCTTCAGCCAGCCTCTCTTTCCAAGACTGTGCTGCCGATGCAAAGAATTCATTGTTTAAAGCCGAGCTCGTAACCTTCAGAAGGCCGTCCAAGCAGGCCTGAAGAGAAGAGGCACAATGCGATGACTAATCTTTCAATAATCACTGCACTGGAACGTTGACTGCAGATTCGAGAGTTAGCAAACTACATTCAGAGCTTTGGACAAAACCTCTGCTTTACGTAACACCGCTGAATTTTTTTCATATGAATCAACCGAGACGAACAGATTTGCTGCAAGATGCGTAAATCGACGTTCAACGCCACAGAGGTGCAAGAGTTACCTGTCGGTCAACCTCAGGCAGGAGTTTGACCAGCTTCTGCTGGCAGTCGGGAGGCAGGACGGAGAAGGTGTGCTTGTTGATGAGGGCTCTCAGGTTGGTGTTAACCAAAATGGAGTCTGGCGTTTCCACGTCTATTTTACACTTTGTGCGTTTTATTTGCCCTTGGGAGAGAAAGAAAGAGACAGGAAGAATTTAGCAGAACAGATTTTGGCTTAACAATCGACCCGCTTGGTGATTTGTTCACTAAAGAATCGCTTGTTTCCTATAAATCAAGTGGAGTTCATTTGTTTTTCTCTACGTCAGAAAAACATCATACAGTCACCAATTATGAAACAAGCAATGCACATTACATTTTGTCAAATGTCCTCATCTAGCAAATGTATAAAATAAGTTGATCGATGTTCCACTTTTTACTCATCAAAGGAAACTAAGCAGGTAGGTTTTTAGCCTCGATATAAAGGAACTCGGTTTGATTAAGTCGGACTTTTTGTCACTTAAGTTGTCCAAATAATGAAAAAAGTACAAAAAAAATAAAAATTCTAATTTATATGTTTAAAGTCGTACTTTCTGATCTGTACACTACAAATGTTGTAGACATTAAATGACCATAGACTAGTTTGTTTTTGCCATTTTCCTCTTTTATAGAATATAAACATCAATCCATTACCTTTACACACTTAAGCGGGTTTATAGAATATATCCAACCCAAAAAGGAAAATTATAATAAATAAATAAAAAAAGTTACACCTGCTGATTGACCTACCTGCACTGAGACGATCGGACCTCTGAGGAACTTTTCTGGGTACGACAGGGTGGCATAACTCTGCTGGGACAAGAGAAGAAAACCTTTGTGAATTTGATGAGCAGCTGAAATCACAAAGTTTCTTATTCTTTACCACGCGAGTTGAGTTTTACGTGAAAAAACGAATCACTTGTTGTGACACATCTGCTCTCCTTTCGTATGACGCGTTACTCCTCCGTATCAAATGATCACCTGACTCTAGCCTTTTTCCAACCTACAGCTAAACCTTTAATGCTTTAGTTCTGGCTAAATTAATCACAAAACATGTTGGACCGCCCTGCTGTCGATGCCATTTTTCAACCGTTCTTCATGTTGAGGTGAGTAAATCTTCATTAACGCAGACAAAGCATCTGCATAATATAGCAAGAAATTAACTAATACCATTACCAGATTATTGATATGACGTGAATAGCATTTGCATAAATTACATAGCAGTGGTGGATTTATGAGCAGTATCAAATGTACAGAAATACAAGTTAGATTTTAATCGACTTAATGTCATGCATCTTTAAAATGTTGTTGCTCTCTAAACTATTGAGCTATTCTGTTCAAATGGGGGGAAAAAAGCTGAAAAAATATGAAAATATGAATAAAATTACAAAGGTGCAAAATGAACCTTAAATAAAAGCATCTAAATATATAGTACTATATGAATTTGAGCTGCTTGTAGCAGTACAAGCGTTGCAACCTACCAGTCTTTGTTGTAATGTTTTCTGCCATGTCTTTGATGGTCTTCAGTAGCAGCCTGGAGCTGGAGATGGCTGGGATACCACCCTGTCTGCGCTGATTTCTCTGCTGCTGCTGCTTCAGCGCCTAGAAAAACGGCAGAAGGAGGAACAAACCGTGTAAGACAAAACAAGAAGTGTTTTGGGTTTTTTTCTGGCCAACACGCAAAACATTATGTGAGGTGGAAACTAAAACTGCGTATGACTTTAGGGTAACCCTAACCATCTGGAAATGTGGTGTGGCAGCATCCAGCTGAGGAAATGTTCCTTAAAAAGGGAGAAAGAAACAAGACAGTCGATAAGATGATGGATGGAGTTAAATGCAGGGGAGTCCTGGAAGAAAACCTGCAAAAGACTTGAGATCGAGTTGGAGTTTCCATCAGGAAAACAGAGATACAGCAAAAAGTCTGGAAGACGGCACATCCACATGGCCCAGTCAAAGCCCAGACTTTAATACAGTTGAGACTCAGTGAAAAGATTTTTAGAAATGCCAATGAGAGATGATGGAAAAAAAAAAAAACCTCAGTTGTAACTGAAGGAAGGGGTTTTTCTAAAAATTGGGGCCGATACTCTAAAAGAAATAAAAAAAAAGACAAAATGCGGAAAGGCTCAAGTGGTATGAAACGTTCTCACAAGACCTTGAACGAAGCTGAAAGAATCAAGGAGGCACAGTAAAACAAACGTGCATCGTCAAAATTTATTAATTCAAATAACACCAGAACGACTCCATAGATACATTAAACCGGGAAGCATTTGTGTTTTGTGGAGTAGAGTGGAAGATCTTTATATCAAACTCTGTAAATAAGAGGGCGTGGCAGGATCTCATGTTACATCGCTAACTAGTAAAACAGAGATGTAAACACTACTGAGAAACAAGCTAACTGCACTGTAAATAAATAGGCTTAAAGGGTAAAAAAAAAAAAAAAAGAAACGTACCTGTTTGAGTGCTTTCTTGCTGTGTTTCTGTGAGGGAGAGATGAGTTTACTGGAGGAGACGGGAGGCGATGAGCACTGTGGCTGCGGAGACGACGGCTGTGACTGCAGCTTGGAGGGGACTGAAAAATAGAAAAGAAAAAAAAAAAGAAACGGTTACAAATCTACGTTTCCTGAGGCGAGAATGCAAACAATCAAGCTGGGCAATTGTTTTGATGAAACCGAAACCAATCTTTTGCACAAAGGAGGGGGGGTTACGTTACCCATCTAAGATATATTCATGAAAAACGGGCTGAACGTCTCAGCAAGAGCTTTACGTTTCCTCATACGGATCGCTGATCTCCCAGCATTTGACTTTTATAATAGCTCAACAACAAAAAAATAATAATTTCTCTCACTCTGCTGTAACTCGGCGTCTTTCTATGGCAGCTTCAAACTTATGCGTAATGAGGAAGTGGTCACGGGTCAGGCAGAGAAAATTCAGCTTCCTGTCTCAACAGTCACTTAAAACGTTCAAGTAGAGAAAATAAATACAACTTAAAAAAAAGAAAAGAAAAGAAAAGAAAAAAAACTTTTCCAAACTTGCACTGAATCACATAAAAACAGCAATAAATCAAACACAACTCGCCCCGCCGCCCAACGAGGTAGAACTGTAGAAAACGGATGTGATTCTACAGCTTGCTGATGAAGGGGGAACATTTATGGGCAACGAGAGTCAAAAAAAGAAACCGACCTTTCGCCGTCATGTTGGGCGCTCAGGGTGTCCCAGAAACATGCGACCGGTTTAATCTAACTTTCTGGAAGAACCGCTTTCCTTAAGCTTGAGTACAGGCAAATGAGCTGGCTTCCTGTGTTCAAGCAACAATGCTTGACAACAGCTGAGAAGAGGCGTTGACGCTCGCTGACATAAGAGATCTATGTGCCCAATCAGCTGAAATAAGTAAATAAAGAGCCGTGTGACGACCGGGACCAGGATATCGTTTATCCTGACGCTTTGCTCATTCATGCCAATGAAAAAGTTATTAAAAAAAAAAAAAAAAAAAACAAAGCTATTCTTTTATGAGCAAAGAGTTGAGGTTAAAAGACGAAAGGTGCTCCTTGATGTCGTGAAAATATACTTTTTTTTATATATATTAAGCTTCTAAATTCTGCCGCAATTAAAAGAAAACTGTCACAAAATTGATTTGCTGGAGCACAAAAACAGATACTGCGCCCGTAAAACTCTGATTAAAACTCTCAAACTTTTACGGGAATTTAAAGGGACGGTACCTCTCCGCATCCACCGTCCTCTCCTGCCCTCTGGAGGAACGGTGCTGCTGTTCTCCGAGCTTCGGGAGTCCGACAGATTGTCGCTGCTCTCGTCAGAGCCCTCCTCCGACAGCTTCTTCACGCCCTCCGAGATGTCCTTCTGAAAAACAGAGAAGAAGAGGAGAAAAACTACTAGCAAAAAGAAAACACCTTAAGCGGATTTAAAGGTTTAACCCTCCACATGAATGACTAGCTAATTCATGTTAGCTAGTCATTATTTTTTAGCACCAAAGATACACCTGAAACTCAGGACGCTTTACTGGCGGAATCAAATCTTGTGATTTTGTAAAAGCAAAATACTGCTGTGCACTGTTCAAAACTAGCCTGTTTTCTAACCTTGTTAAAAAAAAAAAAAAAAAAACTAAAAGGAACTGATTTTTAAAGTTTGGTTCAGTTAATTTAGTAGTTTGAACAGCACTGCTCTACACTTTTCATTTGTATTTGAGGTCAGCACCTCATGACTTTGTTTTCTTACACAGTGGAAATGAAATGCCGTCCAGTCACCGTTCTGTACTCAGATTTTTCTGTGGTATGCAACTCTAAATCATTTGTGGAAAACCTATAAATGTACTCATACGACATATCCAAAATATTCTAAATGAAATGCAGCTGTAAAGGTAAATGGTTTAGACTAGTCACTGTGTTTCAGACTCTTGTTTTAAAGTAATTTGATAAGTTGTTCTTGAACCGCTCCGTTGTGCTAACAGAGTTGACTGGGATTGTAGGTCAGGCTGGCGGAGAAACGCTCTGCTAGAAGACATTAAAAAAAGCTTCTGCCATTTTTCATCGGTGTGACAGGATTTTTGGTACTCAACAGGAAAAGAAACTATGCCAGAGAAGTTGGGAACACTTTGAAACGTGTGCTGCAACAGGCTAGCCTTTAGCTGCTAGCAGTGCTAAAGTTGGTGTCTACTCAAGTCAAGTTTATTTGTATAACATTTCAGTAAAAAGGCAGTTCAAAGTGCTTTACATAATCAAAACATATTATAAAACTAGCAATAAACGCCAACATCAAACTCTTCAAGAATAATCATCACTAAATATGTTGACCAATGCTCCACTTTTAGCCATGATTTAAGAGGAACTCAATGTTTCGGCTGTTTTTCAGTTTTCTGGAAGTTTGTTCCAGATTTAAGGAGCATAAGAACTGAATGTTCGGTTCTGTGCTCCTATTGGCTCTTCATGCTTCGAAAACATTTATTCTATTTGTTCCGTTTCAATATCAATGTAGCACTTTCTAGGTTTTCTTGCATTAACTTTCACTAAAAACATTGAAAATTTTGTCTCATTTATCTACTGTTCACCTTTGCGAGAGGAATCTGTCATTGCGCCCCGTATAGTTACCAGAGGCAGCCGTCATGGCGCTGCCTGAGAGCCTCATCACGAACAACGGCGGTTAGCTTCTCTGTTTTTGTGGAGGTTATTTATGTAGTTCAGACAAAACTATCGTTTGGCATTTATTTCTTCTTCCTGTTGTACTTTCCCATACTAAAAATGTGACCACAAAACCGAGGTCTGTACTGAAACGAGGCCTATGTGACCCCTGACACACTGAACAAACACGGCACAGCAAACTGACGACACAGACTCAGTGACTCTACAACAACGAACTAAAAACATTTTCACCGTCCTGCAAAATTTTTTGTCTAACTAACTAACCTTTAGTGTGTAGACTCCCATCCTGCCCGGGACTTTGTAGAAGATGCCCTCGTCACCCCGAGAGTTTGTGTGCAGCATGGCGTTCAGGCACGCCAGCGGCGAGGTTCCGCTGAGGGATCAGAGAAAACCATGAGCTATGATTATTGACTTCCATTCCTCAAGCGGTTATTAATTAAAAAAAAAACAACAACAACAATGGAAGAAGGGTAGAGGCTGATCAAACGTTTGAGTCTCGTCATGCACAAGTTTGGATCAGAGTAACATCAGGGTAGGATATCCGCCCTGCGTTTCAAAAGCAGTCAGTTGACTGAATTAACCCGAGCTGCAGATTAAAAGCAACTTACATTCCTAATTACACTTTTTCTGAAATAAAAATATATATGTTATATATAACACGTCATATAATTGGAATCCAACATTTTTTATTGTGCAAGAACATGAAAGAAATTGACGTTAACTTTAACAATAAACGAGTATGTCAAGCAGAGTGAAAAAAGTGATAAGATTCCCTATTGCATTTATTGAAGAAAGAAAAAGGTAAATAAATAAATAAATTTAAGGTTCACATGAAGCTACATCTATTTCTGTTGCGCAGTTGTGTTATGTGTACATGTAGCGTGTGGGCAAAAGGCGTCAAGACTAAAACTATTAGTGAGTTATTTTTGCCACTGAATCTACAACATTGTCATTGTCAAAACATGCAAGATTTAAATCTGAACGAAATATGGAAATGCGGTGAGGTTGTTAAGGTGGGATGGTGGGTTGGAGAGGCCATCTTTTTCTTGTCTTACCTTCTGGATGAAAAGAGTGACAATGGAACAAAAAGAAATTAAACAGTTATTGATTAAACTAATTGTGAATATGAACAGGAATAAAAAAAACAAAACACGACATAAAGAAATAAGGGAGAGAGACAGGTAGTGTTGCCTTTTACGAGAAAAAGAAAAAAAGTTTCCTAAAAAAGTGGGTTTACCTTATTTCTTTAAGCCTCTCTCTTTGGATCACCTGCAGGATCTCTTTATGGCTCATAGGAGTATTAGGGTACTTCTCCAAAACCTAAAAGGATTTAAAATAAAAATAAAAACAATCAAAATAAAATAACACGATTAAGAACAGGTTCTTAATCAGAACCTTGTTTTTTATTGGACCAGGGTCAATAATCTTGTGTAAATTTTAAATCAGAGATATGACGTTACAACAAGTTATAATATTTATTGCCATAATTCATCATAATATTCAGTCTATTCAAATGCAAGGGAATTTTATGGTACTGCTACGTCCATCATTATTGACACCCTTGATAGATGTAGATTTAGAATGATTTGTTTTTTTCTCAAAAGATAGTAAAACTATGGCAGTGGCTGGGCAAGACGTACGTAGAAATCGGTGAGGACTCAAACTGATACCGAGCTCTTCGAGTAAAAACAAGTTAAACATTTCAGTTTCAAGTTTAGAGAGTTTTAACCACCAGCCAGTTTTACAACTCAGTCAAATAGATTTTTTTCCCCCTCCTTTTAACAGGCTTTAGTTTTCCACTGAATCATTTTTCCTCTTCCACTCAGCATTAAGCCTCCTTTCATTTTCATCTTTTACATAACTTGATTACATGTAGATTTGAGAACGGCTGCGGCTTCTCTGGCTCCAGGAAAACCCAAGCGTAACTTTGACTTCATGCGCTGATGCAGTCAAAGAAAGTAGCGGAGGATGCAACCATCCGTTGGTCGGTGCAACGTTTGGTTACCATGGAGACTGAACGGAGAGCTTAGATAGTATTTCTGACCAGCTTTAGAATTATATCTAGAGCGCCCCCTGCTGCTCAGTTTTTAAGACGCGGCAAGGTTCTATTGATTTAGTAACTTTTTAAAGAAAAAACTATTTAGCATCATTGTATATTTTATCATGCATAATGACATTAAAGTGCTTGTTCTTTGTCATTTTCTTGCACAATTTTGTGTTAAAGGGCTTGAATGTTTTCCTATACACAAAGCAAAACAACATTTCAAAGAAATTAGTTTAGTAGTTGCTTTGTCTCAAAGCATGCGGGGCAATATCTATCTACAGTCCCTATTCACATTCAGATCTCTTCAACTTTTCCACTTTTTTTTCGCACAACAACCGACAAACTTTAATGCATTTTAGTTTGACTTTATCTGTTAGACAAACAGAAATAAGCAATTTATTCCAAAGTGGAAGAAATCTGCTGTCATCGTTGAAATTAAACAATATAAATCCCCCCACCATGATACATGATACAGCAACACGGTGTGGGAAGCAGAACGGTGATAAATGCAGGCCAATAAACAAAAGAAACATATTGCAGGCCACATAAAATTTAAGACTGTGAGTGGAGGTTCACCTCCCCACCAAGAGCCAACATGCATCAACAACTGAAAGGTTTAGATCAAATCAAAATGTAGTAATTCAATCGGGAATTTGTAGGAAAATTTTAACATTGATGTTCAGGGACCCTCTGCATCCAATCTGAGTTTGACCTGTTCTCAATGAAAGCGTTTAACCACAAGAGCCCAGAGGTAGAGAATAAATACAGAAGCGGTTTATTTTTATAATGAGAACCTGTCTACAATTCTCCAAAGGAGCTAAATTTTCATTCTCTACAACATGGTAGAGACTTGTAGGTGCAGCAAAATGTGGTTGTGTCAGAGGAGAATATAAAAGCATGACAAAATGTCTTAGAAACTATTGAAAAATCATTAGTCATTTTTCACAAATGACCCTAAAACATAGACACGTTTGTTCTTGCTCAACTAAATGTGAAAAGTGAATACTTTTGTTAGGCAATATGTTTATCTCGGTGTGAAGCTGACCTTATTTTTGTCATTATTTCTCTGCAGCCTTTGACATTCAACAGCTGTGTGGTTCTTGTACTTTTACGCTGCAACGACTTTACATTTTACACATTAAAAAGTTATTAGAAACGCACTTTACTTGCTGTCAGTTACCTGTACTTTACAATTAAACTAGTTTACTGAACACGTAGCACATGTTAGTGAACTCCAAATATCCATACAACTCGGTAAGATATTATATTTGTGACATTATTTCTAAGAGTTTTCATATTTAAATACTTATTAGCATGCTAAGCTAGTCCAACTAGCTCGAAAGCTAATAACACTCATTGGCCAAGTTGACATGCACCAGAATTGCTTTGACATCGATAAAGAAGATATAAAAGTAACAGTACAAAATAATACTTTATTAAAAATGACGTCTTGATTTTAGTCCACTTAAAACTAACCAAACTTCTTGAAGGAGTTAGCACGACCTAGCCGATGCTAACCTGGCTAACGCACCCTTGACGTGAGCACTTTATCCGAATCAGCTCGATAAAGATTTGTCAGTCCCACTGTTTGCTTGAAACACGAACGGTGGGTTTAGAGGCATGCTTGGGTGTGCCTAGGTCATGGTAACAAAGCTGCATTTCTCCTCAGAGAAGGAAGACAGAGGCTAAGGTCCCCTGCTTGTGACAGCAGCCGCCTTTGGACCGTCAACACAGGCCTCGCGCGGTGTGCGCAACATTCGTCTCCACCAGCAGGTCATGAACTCATCAACACAGTTGTACAAGTGGGAGCGTTCAAGGAAAACAACCACAACAAACGGAAGATAAAACACCCAAGAATACCGTTTTAGCGGCTTCCGCCCACGTCCTGCCCTTCTTTTTCTTCTGTCTCTCCCTCATGGTGGATGTCCCGTGGCGGAATGGAGTTTAAATTGTCCGTTTCAGTTGAAATGTTGCTTTAGTCACCGTGCAAGACCTACTCCATCTGCCATGTTGGACTTACTGTAAAGAGTCACGTGACCGTTGGAAACGTCATACTTACACTGTATGTGTCTGTCATTCTAAAACACTCAAGCTTCCCACGTGTATTTAAAGATGCTAGTTAGTGGTGTATTTTCTTTTAAGTAGAAAATGTACAGTCAATAAAACATAGTTGGATATTGAGGTAGTAGGATTTTACAAAGTACAGTAAATAAAATGTGCACCAAGGAACACAACACAGCACTCTGCTTTGTGTGTATTTGGGTTGATGACATCATAAGAGGCATAAGAAGGGTCAGGTGGCATTTGTAAATAGCTATGATGACCTTCTCTTAACAGAATCTGAATATTGGCCTTTTAAGTTTTGCCTGGTCCATTTCTTTATGGAAGTCCAGAGGTGTCAAAATCTCAAAAAATAAATAATCAATCATTGAGGTGAACTCACTTAAATTTGAAATGAATGCATTAATAACTTATTAACTAGGAGTTTTGATTTTGAATCAGAGAAGAAAGAAACAAAACAAACAAAAAAACCTAGCTTGGTGGGACATAATAATTTACCTAACATTTGTTTGCCAGTTGTCCGGGAGATGCACAAGGCAGAGTGTATTGAGCAAGCCTACAGTATCACCTCAACGCAAGCATGTTCCTACTTGTATAGACACCAAACTAACATTAGTTACAACAGCACACGACCTAAGAACAAAACAAGAAAATCTACTGTTACTGTCGAAGTTCACATGTCATTTATTAAGTTGTCAAGCAAAATCTAATTAAATAAGACTAAGAAATCCTCTAGTTGGTTTGTTTTTTTACATTGCATCCCATCCCTATTATATGACCATGTGACCGATGGTTCTTATGGTACCTATAACATTGAGTCCACAGAAATTGACATATCACCACCTATCAATTTTATTAAAATGTGGATGTCACATAAAAAGCACATACAATAACTGCAGCTTTACTAAATATTTTATGGTCGAATGCATTGTATCCTCACCCAACAAAATCGGGGGGTGTGACTCTGGCCTGAACTGGACTTTATGTGAAGGTTCACCAATCAGATCTAATCAGTAATATGTGTATGTAAACAGACAAAAGAGAGAGAATGAGAACATAACTTGAAATTTTCTTGAATTAATTTGAACTTTTAATAACTTTAATACATTACTTTGAACTTCAAACCACTTCCACGGCATTTTATGTTGCAAAGTCTTCCTAAAAACCAATGCAGCTTTCCTAAATAGTGCTCCGCCATTTTGCTCCAGCCATACCAAAGACAGGCAAAACATTTTGGAACAAGGGAAAGGGAGGCAAGTGACCAGATAGGAAAAAAATAAAACACACAAGTGCGCACTCAGAAAAACTCTGATCAATGTGCTATATGATGCCAACAAAGTTGTGAGAGGAGGGAAGTGTGTTTTTGAGAGAGCAGGTTTTATCTGAATTAAATTAATTGCAAGGAAATCAATAGAAAAACAGACCATGACACGGTAAGAGACAACCTGTGATTTTACAAACTGTTACTTGCAACTATGATGAGAGTCATTAAGAGAAGTGCAATACAGATTTGAATGAAGAATGACAAAATAAGCACTTCGAGACTATTCAGTGTTTATTTTGTTATGTAAGCAAGTCGACTTTCCACAATCATGAAAAAGTAAGGCAGCTAATCAAGACGGCACTGCAAGCTTTCTTTCACATTTTGGATTCACAATTACATTAGCCCAAAAACCACAGCAAAACATCGTACAGCACACAGGCTACGTTAGGATGTTCTCCCATTCGGTCAGCCTTGATGTGTTTGGCAGAGACATGGCCATCTTTTCTTTTGTCTACAACTGTGTGAGCATGCAGACTTTCAATTCTAAGATTTTAATAACCATACGTTAAAAAAAAATCAATCAAAAAGCTTACTGGCTCTAAAAATTTGGTTAATACAATCTGAGATGAGCGACTCTGTTTATGAATATTAAAACAGAATGCTAAAGCACTGAGTGCATCTTAAAAACATTGCTACAAAGAGTTACTGAAAGGTGCGCAACTTTTTTCTTCTTTTTGGGAGCATTTAAGGCAAGAATATATTTTATTCCAGACGTTTTGTGGGTTGTTCGGATGCACACTTGAGATGTGATGTCAATAAGCAAGGCCACATCATCACCTCTCCACCACCATGCTTAACAGTTACACATCTAAAAGGCATTGTTCCAGATACTACGAGTTGTTCAGCTATGTCATTGTGTTTTGATTTTTTTTTTTTTTTTGTCAAGAAAACGCTGTTATATCTTTCTAAGATTGACAATAGCAACAATTACTTCTTTAAGATTACAATTAGTACCTTTCCACTTGGTCACCGTGCAAAATCATTCCTAATTGCTTATAGATAACAATGATTAATAGAGGAGATCAGACTTTCTGATGACTAGTTATTTAGGTACATTTAATGCACATTAAATCTGTATTATGATATACTTTTACCAATTAAACAATAAAATATTTTGTCTGGTCGTATATTTTGTTTGCATAATTTTTCTGATCAAACAATTTTAACATTTTTAAAGTAAAGTAAATCCCAAGTAAAGTTTAATTGAATTTGGATTACTTTCCTTTTCCAATGATTGTGGTTTGATCCCTGTATAGCTCAGCTGATTCTTCTGAAATCTGACCCCTTCGCCGCCTCAACAAGCTAAAATGGGTCTAGGCGACCCCATTCTGCAAAGCAGTGTTTTCTGGAGTCATTTCTTTGGGAGTAGTTTTCAAATAAGAGGGATAAAAGCATCCCTCTGTCATTACAAAGACATCCTGCAGTACACTGCACCATTTTGTACCCAAAAGGCAATAATAATAATAATTTAAAAATAAAATGGCAGAGGGGTGAAAAGACCAGTATTTGATCATTTTCATCTGAGATTACTTACGCATAAAAGCACTTGCATTTTTATCATGACTGTAAGAGATGCAAAATAAAAATCACTCGGTCAAATAAAACAAAGCTTAGGTATAATAACATGCTGAAACTAAGAAATTAGAACATCTTGAGTTAAACTATTCTACTTTTTTAAATAAACTCAGCTTCAAAAATGAATTAATACGCATGGATCCTCCTTAACTTCCATCTCTAACCGGGCACATAAAGAGAACTAAGGCCAGCGGACAGAATGTGACAGAAAATCAGGGGATCGTTTGGACCGGTCCTCCCGAAGAAAGATACGCAGCAGAGGACGGTCTTCGTCTGGGAGAGGGAGAGCAGCTCTGAGGTTCACATGTGAGAATAGTGGAGGATGAGGACGATGTGACGGATGCAGCTTGTGGCGCCTGATACCTGCAGACCATAGAAAATAAAACTATCTGTAACTGCAAAAAAAAAAAAAAAAAAAAAAAACCACCACAAAAATGCGATACAGCTCATTTATGTATTTTGAATTAAATATTTCTCTGTTTTCTGTCCTTCACTTACCAGGACTGGGACTTCCTGACCCTTGAAGAAGACGCGCCTCTTGCGCGCACATTCAGCGACAGATCCGGCAGCAGCCTGGGGGTGAAGGCTCTCTCCAGGCATTCGCCGTTTAGGTTCAAGGTGAACATGGTCGGTGGGGACATGTCTAACTCCAGCAGCATTACGTTTTCTGCCTGTAAGAACAGACGACACTGCTTATAGTGCAATTATGAGTGACTGTTTTCGATAATATCAGGGAACAGAAGGATCGTCGCTGAGCTGATTATTGTTTGACGAAAGTCAAGCGTGCAGAGTTTGAGAACGTCACAAATGCATGTGAGGAGGCTAAATTATTTATAATGACTTACGTGCGAAAATATTAATTTTCCTTAAACTTTTACACAATTGGTTACTTTTCAACTGCAAACGTCAGTGTTTGGGTTTCATATGATTTCACATGGGTTTGTATTCTCCACTGAGACAGCGCTTTGTAGCACTGTCTGTCAGTTTAACTAAGGCTGCATGTTTTTCATATGTCCTCATCAATCAGAAAATAACATTTTTCTTTTCTTTTTTCTTTTACAGGTTTTCTTTGAAAATAGCTCAAGATGAATCAGTCTGGATGGATGTATGGATGCGAACGTCACAGATCCCAAACAGGATTTAGGCTTGGACTTTGACAAGACACATCAAGCCAACATTTCATTGTAGCTTTGGTTGTATGTTCAGGGTTGTTTTCCTGTAGAAAGTTTTCTGCAGTCTTACAATTTTTCTTCCAATATTACTCATATTTACTTCCATCGATTTTTTTTTAAAATCAATTCTGAACAGTCTCCTTCTCCCTGCTGAGGAAAAGCATCCCCACAGCATGATGCTAGCACCACCGTGTTTTTACAGTGTGCATGGTGAGCTTCTTGTTTCGATTAAAATAGGCAGAAGTGGCCTCCGCTCAGGAATTGGATGTCTTCTGAAAGCAGTTGGTCACACTGGTATTTGTTTAGCTTAGCGGTATGAGAACAAAGGGGGCTCAATACAAATGCATGCCACACTTTTCAGATTTTTTAAATACGGTACTTTAAACCCGTTTACACAGTGACAATATTTTTTGCAATGGAATGTATAGCATCTGTATTAAAGCAGAATCAAAATCTGCTGTGCCAGAGCACCAGTTATTTTTAAGATAAATATAAAAAAAACAAAAAAACAGTTCAACATTGCATACAGACTGTTGAGGCCTTCACATTTCACAAACAAGGCTGCTCTGAACATGGTATAGCAATACCGTAAGATCCTTCTAGTGCTCCTTGTCTGCCATCTGGCCTTGTGGTGTAAATATCTGAGCACTGACCTGGTATCTAAATGGGGTCCCAGTAGCGGTGGCGACAGCCATCTGTGCATATTGGCTGATTGGCCTCTTGTATCCCACAGCAGAAAGAGGCCTTCTCTTGACCTGAGTGGGTGTACTGGGAGAACACATCAGAGAGGACGGGGTTAGACTCAGACACAGATCCTCTGGAAACAAACGAAAATAATCCGGTGTCGTAATGGCGCACTGATTCTGCAAAAGAGCACTACTGGAGTTTCGACTTACATCTTGTGATATTGGA